ATAGAACAATATTATTAAGCGCTTTGAGTGACCTTGGTCTGTGAAATGCGCAAAATGAAAAATACTAGTATGTAGGTACTTTGTGTGTTAAAGGTATGCTATGGAGTGTTTATATACATATTTCTTCATCTAAATTCTAATAAAATGCCATTGGTGTTATAATAGGCAATCAGAGAAGGACTGGCTTACGTGCTGTGCTTAATGGCTAAATAAAACAGACTTCAGAATGACTGGAGTTTGCAAGAATAAAACTCCAGAGAATCATCAAGCGCACCGTGTGGGGTTTTGAAAGCAATTACAAACACTTAACTGTTCTCCAGGGCCATGGTCTGACCGTGTATGTGTTTGGATTGTTATTTTTTTTTTTAGATCAACTCAAACCAGCCAAGCAGGGGCATGGGAAGGGCAATTATTTCTGAAAATAAATTTTTAAAGCTGTTAAAATATTGTACTTTCACAGTGCCTGTTAATAAGTCTCTTCTACATTATATCTTTCTGAGTGGAGATTGCATGTTCTCCCTGTGTCTGCGTAGGTTTCCTCGTATGCTCCGGTTTCCCCTACCACGAAAAACACGTACATTAGGTATGAATGTAATGAGTGAGTGAATAGTTGATGTTTGAGACTTTAATGTGCCAGTGTGTTCAGCAACTCGCTTCCGTCATCACCGTGCGGAGAGAACGGAACAATATCAGAACTCTTTTAAATATTGTAAAGTGCTTTGAGGGACCTCGGTTTGTAAAAAAGTCAGTGGCTCAGTTGGTAGAGCCTTTGAGGCCGAAGGTCGTGGTTTGGAGCTCACCACAAAACGTTCTCCACCAATTCCCGCTTATGTCTGCTGCTTTGTGTCCTTTGGCAAGACGCTTGACCTCTGGGAACACCAGGTGCCAGATATGAACCCAGCTGGGACCAGAATAGCTGAGTAGACAAGAGTTTTGTCAACAACTATTACGAGCCACTAGTTGTTAGGAGAGTGTGGCTCAGTAACACAAACCGCAACGGGCCGGGAACAGACGGGAAACAGAGGTCTAAAATGTAAAAGTTTATTTATGTACATAAAGTTAAATGTGCAACAAAAAGGCCTAAAGCTTCAGAATCACAAGAGTGTGCAGCCGAAGGATCCAGGCCGAAGTGGGAGAGAGAGAAATTGGTCTGGAGCCGGGCCCTTTAGGTGATTTCATGGATCTATTATAATAACTGGTGAAATACACAGCGTGGATTTGCTGCAGGACTGTAGACCTGACCTTGTTTTCTCCTCGCAACCAGGTGATTACCCACAGGTGCAGGGTGAGCCGTCAGTGGGAGGCAGATCTGAGGAGGTGGAGGCAAGGAGAAAAACACAAGGTCCTGGTCCGTAACAACACCTTTTTCACAAAGGCCCCGATAGAATTTTTTTTTTTGAGAATCATAAGACCTTTTTTAGTCCTACAGGCATGTTACTTTACCAGTGAGATCAGCTCGCGGTGAGTTCTGGCAACCTGGAACTTTCTGATTGGTAAAACGGTGGAGGGCGGGACATGAAAATGAAAACAATAACAAGACTTGGGCGCTGTAAAACTAATTTTGAAATGTTATCCGTTGAAGAATTACTCGAAAAGAGCATGTTTAATTGATGCCTTTAGACATATTAGGGCCCTTTAATGATGACTGGACTTATATACTTTAAGGCCTAAATGTTTTTCCTTCAATCGGATAAACGGGGGATCTAAAGACCCCCAGCCCCCAGCCTATCCTGTTGTATTCTAGAACTCCAAATTATTCAGTGTTTAATTTTGAGGTCATTTTATTAGCCACATCTAAAAAATAATAACACCACCTATTCTCTTTATTAAAAATCCAGGCCAAAGGAAACTCTCGGAACACCGCTGCAAACACACAAACTAATGAACTGTTGCATTTAATAGGACCACGTTCACTATAAAACTAATAATGTATGTTTATTGGTCTGACACAGCCACCTGCTGCAGCAGTGTACAACAAACAGATAGTTCAATTGTGAGGGAGATAATAAAACAGCAATACTGCCCCCTACTGCTCCTTCATCAGAGTGTTACCAAGATCACGGCAGGAGTGTGCGTGTGCGTGTGCGTAGGCAGGAGGGTGGAGTGGGGAAGAGGATCTGGGAAGACGGCATGTGTTGTCTGTGAAGAATTTCGTAAGAATTTCTAGAAACATAATGTGCTGAATTTTGTGATGTTTACAGTAATTCTAAAGTAATGATCCAAACCTCCATCCATCCATCCATTTTCTACCCTTTAATCCATTTCTGGGTCAGGGGGGTGGCAATCAGAGATGCCACCCAAGTCTCATAGCACCAGCCCCTCACTGATCCTCTGCAGGTGGTGAGTCCACAGGAGCTTAGATCTTCCAGCGGGGGCTTTGGGCAAAGTGGGGTTAAGTGTCTTGCCCAAGGACACAACAACAGCAGTCATCAGTGGGAGTCAGTGGAGAAGGTGTAGAGGTGGGAATCCAACAGGTGATCCAAACCTGTCATATTTAATAATTATTTAATTCAGTTGTAGAAATAAATGTCCCATTTATTTCCCCAGGGTGTAGGATTATGAGAAAAAATATGTATATGTGTAATTTAGATTTATTATGTTTACCGGAAAAAAGGCAATTTTCTTGCTTTGGCCCTGCTTGGTGAGATAAAGTTTATTAAATTAATAAAATAATGATAATATTGGTGATGCATTTCATTGACTCTGCTAATATTATTCATGGTTGCGAGGAGAAAACAAGGTCAGGTCTACAGTCCTGCAGCAAATCCACGCTGTGTATTTCACCAGTTATTATAATAGATCCATGATTTCACCTGGGACTGGAGTCTCATGGCTTATACTGCCCCCTGTTGGCAAGAGCTGAAATTAAAGACTGCTTTCAAATGTTTGGAGTCATAAATACAACGTTAAAGTTTGATTAAGCTAATGAGGGGCTTTCTCAACTATGACCTTTCCAGTGGCTTGGGTGAGTTAATGAGTTAATGAGGTAATCTGAGAAAAAAGGATGCACTTGGGCCAGGAGGTGTTATCACATCTCATGTGGCCAAAAGTGCACCAGAATCCAATGGCTGAACACATTAGAGCTCAGCTTGAAAAACAAGAAATGGTTAAAAACATCCAGAGGAAAAATCCCTCTTTGAAACCATCATTATAGAAATTGAACAGTAAAACATTTGCCAGATATGACATTCAGTAACTTTTGGGAGCGTCCATTCAAAAAGTAGAGGATAAAAATTCAGGTTTTTTGCACAAGGAGTTGCCAAGACTGCACTGTGTCAATAGTGTGGCCCTGTTAACATTTGTCACTTTTTTGTGTATTCAAATCCTTAATCATTGAATGTGTGAGTTTTCTTAGACCTATGGCTCAGAGCAGAGATCAGTGTTTAGTCAATTCTGATTTTGTACAAGTCTTCCATCTCTCAGACTCTTGATAAATATTGCCTCCGCTTCACTAAAACGGTGACCACATCACTGCAGACGCTGCACTGATCACTCCCTCAGTCCTGGGCTTGTTGCCAATCAGTCTTGGTCCAAATTTGTAACATTTTGAAAACCACTTATTATCCGCTAACAATTCTCTGGAGAAAGAAGTGGGACAGATGGAGAAAAAAGCAACATGGACTTATTGGTTTTTTGACTAATGAAGTAAAAAGAGCCATCTTTCACCGCACAAAGGGCTGAAGTGATTGCATGCGCAGATTAAAAGGATGATGATCGTTACCAAGGGTTACCAAGGAGCTGGACACAAAAACACATTTACAATAGGTGGATGACTTAACAAAATGGATTAACAGCTTGACTGTTTTGTTAAAAAAAGGTACAGATTGTAGTTTATTAGAATCACAAACCTTTGTTGCCACATTGTTTTTTTTTTCTTTTGTCTTGCCTGTTTGCTATGCATCTGTTTTGTGCATTTTGTTTTGCTGTTGCCTGGAAAGTGGGTTCTTGTCATTGTGGTATGTTGCGTTGTGTGTTTAGTATGTACATATTGTGCGTGGTAGGCTAGTGACTGAAATAAAAATAATATAATAAAACAAAACTTTTGTTGCCTGTCTGTATCTGTCCACTGCATTTGTCTACGGAGCACCAGGATGAAGCCTCCATTAAACCCGTGCTCCTGCTTCACAAAGCATTATCAAAACAAAAAGAATTACATTAAAGACATTTATTGCAAAATTTGACTTTCAGAAAATACAGCTGTGTTTCATACTTGACTCTTTCATTATTGCTGTAAACAGTGAAAAAATAAATGTACACAAAGTTGAAACGGACCTTCAAGCTTCAATGCTGCATTTACAAACTCTGATTAGTAAAAGCAATAAAAGGTTGTGTAGATGCTACACACGTCACACAATTATGCTCTCGAGCATTTTCTCATACATTAATATTATTTCGACAAAACAAAGTAAAAACTTTAAAATGACTCACATTGTCGTGCAACACAAAGAAATTAAAGATATTAAAACTTGATTTACCATATGTTCAATTCAAATATTTACAGATTTTTAGAAAAGACCCAAAACAAAAAAGTGTCAAACTAGACTTTCTGGTAAATACTAAAATGTTATTGCTCTTAATACTGTACCTTCGTTAAGTGACTAAACAGGTGAGAACACTATACAAGTATAGATATTTGTCAAAAGCAACTTCAAAATCCAATATTGCTTGGTGCATTTTAAAAAGTATATCAAATATTTGATACTGGGAAACAGACATAGAAGGAATTTTGAAGTTGAAAGTTTGGCTCTGGGTTGATAAAAGAAAAAAAAAGAAAAAAATCACTACAAAAATAATTTGTTCTCATCAATACACACACTTGGACTTTGACATTTTTGTGCTTCTGCTTTGGAAGAATCAGGGTTTTTATGATGATGGAAAATGTGTACAACAACTTGTTATTGAAAAAGGAACGATCAGAACAATTATTCACAGGTCGCAATACGAACACAATAAATATGAGCACGGTCCGCCTCGATACAACACCTTCTGTAGGGATGTTCTCAGTGGCTCTGGCGCTCTGACACCACGTCCTGCAGCCGCTTTAGCAGGACGTCTGGGCTGCTGCCGTTCTCGGGACACGCCCTCTTACTCGGAGAGTTGCACGTCGATGACATTGTGACGTCGCCGTCGATGTTGAACGCCCTCTTCCGGCTCACGCAGCCCTGTCGGATCATTCGGTTTATATCGGACAGCTCCTGGTGGGCACACAACATGTTGGCTTTAATCGTTTGACCTTTAAACTGCAAAACGCTGCAGCTCGAGTCCAGACTAGAACAACCAGGAAGCGTGATCACATTAGTCCAGTTCTCAGGTCTCTGCACTGGCTCCTGTGGCTCAGAATAGACTTTAAAACAGCTGATTGTTACAATAATAATAATAATAATAATAATACTACATTCTATTTAAAAGCGCCTTTCTAGACACCCAAGGACACTGTGGAGGACATAAAACAAAAAATTAAGTCATGACAAGTACATCAGTGACATAGTAAGTAAGTAGTAGTAAGTCATGTTTATTTATATAGCGCATTTTACAGACCAAGGTCACCGCTTTACAATGTTCAGAGTTCAGATATTGTTCTAATTATTCCACACAGGGTGATGACGGAAGCGAGTCGCCGAACACACTGGACCATCAGCTCCCAACCAACACCATCCATTCACTCTCGCATTTACATTCATACCTATTGTGCATGTTTTTAGTGGTAGGGGAAACCGGAGCACCCAGAGGGAAACCTACGCAGACACGGGTAGAACATGCAAACTCCACTCAGAAAGGCCCTGTTCTGACCGGGATTCAAACCCAGGACCTTCTTGCTGAGAAGCGAGAGTGCTATCCACTCAGCCACCGTGCTGCCCAATGTGATATATGATCCTACTCCTGCTGGGACTCTGAGGACCACAGGGACTGGCCTCCTAGTGTTTTCTCTTATCGTCATATTTTCCTGTGAATAATTGTATCTTGCACTTTGTGACTCATTTTTCATGCGTTTATTTATTTCAAACATGCACGTTATAATCATTGCGGCCATTTATCCTCTCCCTCCCCACAGTGATGAAAGCAATACACGTCTTTAGTGATAGGGGACCTGGAGCACACCTAAGCAGACACAGGGAGAACATGCAAACTCCCCACAGAAAGGCCACGTCTGGATGTGGAGATGGACCGGGTTGAGTCAGCATTATCAATGTGGAGAATGCATATACACAAGAATCTATATATACACAAACTTATTTTCAAAAGTGATACATTTTAAGTTTAAAGTTGCCAAAATAATCAAAAGAAATGTGTTTTTATCATGAAAATAAATATTAATAACAGGGTGAGGCTACCTTGGAGGGGCTGCTGTTGATGCGGTAGGTGTAGGAGTTGGGAGACAGACAGCTGGGAGAGTTCTTATGTGGAGAGACATACAGAGAATGTCTTTGAGAAATCCTCCGGGGAGACAGAGGCTGAGCGCGCACTGAGGGGAACGGGGACTGCGGAGGAGCATCTGCCTGAAAGCGAAAAACCAATATAGGAACGTTGCAACAAAAAGTACAAAAACAACAGCATTGCATTAAGTAAACATAGCAATCCGTCCCCTGACAGCCCGGGGTTTTCTGTGTCACTGATGCAGGAGGCTCCAGGGTGCACCCAGAATTAAGGACAGTGAAAGTAGCTGAAATCTCAATGTGTTTTCTTTCTGTCAGTTTATGTGTTTTTAGGTAGACTCTCCAAAGTAAACCTACATTTTTTGCATCGTTGTGGCTATTCGAACCAGAACATCCCAAAATACATACCATTTTAATGCTGTACTGAGACTGTGGTTCAATAAACAAAAGAAAAAAAGAAAAAAGTATTTTAAAGCCATAACTGTTATTTTCTTTTGTCTTGTTTGTTTGCATGTTTTCAATTAGACCTAGAGTCTGTGAAAAAAAAAGTTGAATTGATTGGCACTATGTTTATGAGTGTGCTAATTTTGCTGGGCAGGCTGGTGTTATCGTTAGTATTTTGGTTATTGTTACCTTGCTGTCGTGACTGGCGTATCTCAGGGCAAAGCTCTTCATCTTCAGCACAAACACAGAGTTGTAGAACTGGATGAGGTCCCCACGCTCCTCCTCTCCTGATTGGTCGGCCTCTGAGCCCTGACTGCTCTTCTCTCCAGCTGCATTCAAACACAAGAGACACGTTATGGATTCACATTTTTCACCATGTCAACATAATTAAAAATGTATGGATAACAAAATAAAAGAAACCTATACACAATCTATATATATTAAACTATAATACACATGTAATGTAAAGCCATAATAAGAAAAGTGTGGTGTATCTGTCAGAGAGTTAGGGTTAGTCGATAGTGACTCACATTCTCCTCCAGACGCCGGGTCCACCTCCATGTTCTCATCTGGCACCTGCTCTCTGGGAGTTCGACGAATCAGCACACTCCTGTACACCTGCACATCAACAACAGACAATGTTAAACATGTTTTAATACATATTTGAGTGTTGGAGTCCGAGTCTTACATGGCTGTTGGCCTGTGGCTGGCTTCGGTAACACTTCATAATGTCCTGGAAGGTGTTTGCTTCTTTGGTCACCTGTAAAACAGAACAAAACATGTTAGTAATAAAGAGAGATCCCCAACACAATATCTTATTTTGGGTTCAGAGGAGGAGAAACCAGAGTGGGCCAATCAACAGTTAATACACATTTTGGTAACTAGTGAAGGCTGATGTTGCATTTGGCTTTTGTACTTTGTATTTGTCGCCATGTTCTTTTTGCGTTTGGATTGAACCTGAATTATTGGACATAAATCATATGAAGAAAACATATTTTACGCCTTCACGCAATCTGCACTTTGGTTGCTGCGACAGTGTTGTACTTTGGTAAATATTTGTCAGATTTTAGCATTATTTTTTCTTAATCCTATGGGTGAAGGTGCTTCACCCATGATTGTGATTGGTTGTTCAACCTTCAGAACAGCTTCTATGTGAATGCGCCCAAAGGTTAATGGGAAACTGGAGATTTTATTTTGCTATTTGACTTAAAACAGTCTGGTCTATCATTGTTGTTTATTTCAATATTGTCTCTAATTAACTGTCTGACCCATTGTGTGCTTTTGGTTTTTGAAAATGGATTCGGCTAGCAAGTCCCACAGTCAGCAAAACTCACTTTGGAGATGATGTAGATGCTGCAGAGGAGGATCTGGTCGAGGTGTCGGTCCTTCATGAGTTCTGTGCAGTGAACAACAGCGTGTTCAAAACATGTCCACACTTTCCCCCTCAGCTCTGAGTCCACGTCCATCTTCAGACACAGGTCACGCAGACGCACGCTGGCCAAGTGGTACACCTGCAGAAGAAAAAGACTGCTTGATAAAGACCTCAGAGTTCTGTAGGTATGAACCAAAGTAACATTATATTCATGTGTACTCTGAATACAGTCGAAAGTTTAAACACCCATCATTGAAGAATGAAAGTTTTAAAATCAGAGATGATAAAGAACCTCATCCACAATCATCATAATCATTACTATATAAAGAGAAGTACATGCAAAAGGTGTGAAAGGTAGCAGATTCTTCACCTTCCTAAAGAACAGTGCCAGGGACCCTGTGCGCCGCGGCCGACCTGCCTGAGGGTCCGTGGTGACAGGGGCCATGTTAACTCGACTGGGGGATGTGGTGAGCAGGAAGTGGGCGGTGACTGTGTTTGAGTTCACTTGTTGCACTGGGATCAGGGTGATGGTCCGGTCACTGTTCACACCTGAACGAGAAGGAAAACAAGATTTCATTGTGACTGTTGCTAATGTGAGCCTTATATTTGAAATCACAAGACGTAAAAACATAAACAGGGCTGCAGAACCAACTCACAGCAGCAGTTTGAAAGTTTCCATGTTTTATGCACAAATGTTACTACAGAATGATTGTCTGATTTTAAACTAAGTAACAGTTAACGGATGTAAAGTAGAAACAATATAATTTTATCAGACTATCATCGTACCTTGCAGTACCATCGTCCCTGGTGCGGGCTGAGGAGCGATCTTGAGCGTGCTGGTCGATCCAAATGTCAATCTCTTTGCGGGGGACGGCATCACACTCCCATTGGCTGCTGTCCCCGACGATAGAGGGTCATCACCAAAGAGCCGCCGCTTTGCACTTCCTGCTGCAGGAGAGCTGTATCTGTCATGGACCGTCAGAGGAGAGGCGGGGATAGCTACGGAACAAGGAGCACAATGTCAAATACACAATTCTTTCTTTGTGTTCAATATCTGTATTTCTTATTTATTTGTAGTTATTGTACACTGAAGCGGTTTGGAGAGATGGAGAGCCATGCATCGTCTGTCTGGTCATAACCACCAAGTGCCTGATTTATAAAGACTTATTTAAGGTAAAGGTGCACTTTATATATCCCCGTAGGGCAATTCATCCTCTGCATTTGACCCATCCTGATGCCGCTAAGGCTCACGTAAGGAGGAGTGGTCGCCGTCGTAACAGCGCCCGGGAACCCATCTCCAGATGTTGATGCTCGGCTTGGTCAAGACTACCAGAGCTGGAGGATTTAACCTAGCGTGCATGTTTTCAGTGGTAGGGGAAACCGGAGCACAAGTAGGAAACCGGAGCACTCGGAGGAAACCTACGCAAGCACGGGGAGAACATGCAAACTCCACTCAGAAAGACCCTGTTCCGACCGGGATTCGAACCCAGACACGGATTTATGTTCACGGACATACATGGCATTTATGAACTCTGTATCATCACGGATTTTGCTATCTCTGTGCAATCTGAGACCCTCTTGTAACCTTGACAAAGATACCAATCATACTTGGAGGTTATTTTCTGCTTATTGAAGAGGCAAGCGTTCTCATGCATGGTAACGTGAAGAAAATGCACATCCCGTCTCCAGCTACACACAAAGATTTTTAAACAATAAAATCGGACAGGCATCATGTAGTTATCATCTAAAAAAAAAAGAAAAATCTAAATAAAAACTATTGTATGTGTGTATGTTCCCATTACTTTTGACAGTGCTGCCGATTGTGGTCCTGAACTCCCTGATGCGGGGGTGGATGATGGGGGACAGAGCGACCATGGGCAGGTGCGGCTGTGGCTGAGTGGGGTTTGAGCCGCTGGTCCCTGAGCTGGAGCCGCTGTCGAGGCTGGAGGAGAAGTTCACCTGCAAACAATGGGATGATTCATGAATTCACAAACAGGGAATGATGGGAAAACTTTAACCATAGACTAAAGAACAAAACATTCACAGATGTTTAACAAAGATAAACCAAGTATGAACCAGTATGTAAGAAAACTATTACGTGGATTCGGAAGAAGAAAGAGACCCATGTTCCAACAAAATAGTCGGGTCAAAAGGTCCGGAAACAAAACTTTTCCGTAACTTTCTTAAACTAATTCTGTGCTGACAATTAAGACCATACAACAAAGACCGGGCGACTTGTCACTGACCTCCTCCACGGTGGGCACCTTGTTGCCCGCAGCCTGTAGAGCGGTCCACAGCGCAGAGCCAGACGACCAGGCTCGACTTTCCAGGACCTGTTCCTCAATGGAGTTCAGGTGCTTCACCATGTCCCGAGACAGACCCTCCTCCGCCCGGATAAACACCTCAATCACCTGCACCAAGAACAACGTCAGTCTTGTTGGAGGAGACGCAGCTCTGTGACCCGCCAGCAGCTGCTTTGTCTGTTTATATTGTACTTTACAGACTTCTCATGCTCTGTTCATCAGTTTGTGTGGGCTCCACTTCATCAGAATCATTTTTTTTTCCATAAGATAAGACTTTATCTCACAATGGAGAAATGTACATGTCACATTTGGCACAGATATAATCACTCAGGGTGTGCCAAAAGACAGGAAGAGTGCAAATATGTTAGAAAGGTTAAAAATATAGTCACTTTTGTGTAAGATATACTATGTACAATATGATAATAGCAGGGAGAGCTTTTTAAGACTAACAGAAGGTAACGAAAAGTCACAAGCTAGGTCATTGATTTGGCTGAAGGTGCAAACAAGTAAGAAAAGTAGCAAGGAAAAGGAATGCAAAAAAATATAACATTTCTTAAAATAACTATTTACAAGTTTACGCAAAAGACATTTATGTCACTTATGTCATTGTTTGACATTTCCTGTTTTTGTCCTATGCTGCTCAACTGAATTTCCCCTGGTGGGATGAAATAAGTGGTCTGAAGGTATAAAGTCTATGAACACAATAGACGAGAAGTGTCCTGTGTGGCTGCAGGTTTTCATTCCAACCAAGCAGGAGTACACCAGACTGAACCTGTAGACTCTGGTGTGCTCTTTGAGGACAGAGTTGAAAATTGGTTTATTTTCAAATGTTAAAAAGTTTAATAAAATAGGTCTATGTTTTTAAACTTATACGTACACATGCAGAACCCCTTTTCGTAATACTTTTGTCTTCTACATTTGTGACGGACCTTGAAGAAGTAGAAGGACGGGAGTTTGAAGATGTTGATAATCCAGGGGAAGGTCCTCTGCGAGCTGTAGGCGAAGAGCACCACCTCCAGGCAGCAGGCCATCAGAGAGCAGTGGAACATGTCCTGCTCCAGCAAGACCTGCAACGCAAAACACCAGTTAAAAAGGCTCCTCGTCCTGCCATCAGCTTCCCGTTCCTGATGCAGACTTGTCGTGCATGAGAACCAGTTGAGAAGGTTCAATGCAAGGTTATGTCTGTGTGGCTGATAATCTGTAGTGAAAGCATGAGTAGGTGGTGGGACTGAACTTGTGTGTGTATTTCTCTCTTGTTCTCGAGTGTGGTGAAGATGTAGCAAAAGTTTATGGCAAATAGCTAAACCTTTAAACCAGGGGGACAAATGTAAAAACATGAGAGCTGCTTGAGGCCAGAAGTAGAACAGTGGTTCACTTTTATAATCCTTTTTATTATTTTACGTGTTTTTGTCTTTTAACAATTTGGATATTATTTTCTCGCAGGTTTGGATTCAACCAGAGCTGGGTCATATAGTAATAGACTGATAGTTCAATATAAAAAAAAAAAAAAATGAAGTAACTATAACGTCTAATCACATTTCTGTTAAACCTTTAAGAACAGATTCATTTATGGCTGCTTTCCTGAGATAATGGACTTTAAAATGAAGTGCAACATGCCATAGTAGCCAATCACCATCAATACTGCAAGTTACCGTAATTCAAAATCTTTTCAGGGGATAATAAAAAAGGTCTTTCGAGTCGGATTTATGCTGGATGGATGGATGGATGGATGGATGGATTCGTTTGGAACTCTGACTCGAAGCTTTTATGCATGCAGCACATACGAGCCCTCAATGTTTTCTGCCGGTTCCGCGTCTATCCTCCGTGAGCTCTCGCTGTCCAATAGGAGCGCCGATCGTCACACGTGTCAATATGTTTATATAAAAAAGTTCACTTGGAAAAAGGACAGTCTGAATACGAACCGGAGCAAAAGAAAAAAGTTTGGTCCGCTTTTGATTCGGATCAAGCAAGCGGAGCAAAGGACTTTTCAGGTCTGAATACACCCTAAATTTCAGAAATGTATTGAGTGGATTAGGTGATGTCTTTAAAGAACTAAAGAACCACATACTACACAACTATATACTTATATTTTAGACTATATTTTAGACTATATTTTTATATCAGTCTTTATGTCAGATTTTTTATTTGACAATCGATACAAGACTGCAAAGACACTTACGCTCATATCTTTTCCCTGCAGGCGTTTGGACTCCTGAACTATCACATTTTCCAGAATCTTGTAGTAGAGGATTTCGGCCAGCTTCAGTCGATTTTCAGCAAAGTCTAAAATAAAAATGAAAAAAAAAAATGGTACTGTAGAATATTTAGCGATCTCGAGCAACAACAAACATGGCACCTAAAGCGTACCTATGTGCGAGCCAGCGGAGTCCTCAGAGTCGTTGGTGTAATGCTCTTTGAAAGTCTGTCCCAAACTTTTGACGCGAGCGAAAATGGACTCAGTGGGATCTCTGGTACAGGACCTTTAAAAACACAGGAAATTGGGATAAAAGTAAATTATACTCATTTTTAAAAAGGAAACCGTTTAATTTGACTTGAATATAACTACATTAAAACAACACATTATTATTTCAAACATATTTTACTAAAAGGTTACACATCATGAAGGTAAGGCAAGTTTATTTGTATAGGCTAGTTCATACACAAGGCAACTCAAAGTGCTTAACAAAACTAGAAAAATACTTCCAAAATTATAAATATACTAACTGTGTGGAAATGCATATTCGGTTATGGATAAATATGGCAAGGAAATAAATGTGCGAATCCTAACACAGAACCAACTTGAACATCTGTGTGAGGGTTTCGCTGGGGGCTGTCCTCAAACGGGCCACCATACTCTGCAGACGGGTGACGCTCTGAGTGGCAGATGAGACCGGGGTGACCAGCAAGTCCTTCTCCTTCAGGTAAACTCGGCCCGTCAGAGGCGTGGAGGGAGCCAGTGAGCCGGACTGGGACAGGAGACAAAGTTTCAATCCAAAAATGTCCTCCATATTTCACATTCAATAGTTATCACCTGCTTATCAGTTACGTATTATACCAAAATAATATTCACGTCTTAAAAGCTTCAAATTTGTGAGCGGCGTGTTTTGAAAGAAGATTTTATTTGAAATGTATTTGATGAATTCTGGATTAATAAAGTTCTCTAGCAAATGCTTGGTTTTAAATCAATGACTACAGATAATCAAATAAAATGCTGTGCAAAACCCACGTCACCGTCCACAAATAGTTACACACACTATACATTAAAATCAACGTTAGAGCAAGAAAACCACTGCATGTGTCACGATGTGCGCAAGTAAAATCTACAGACACGTTTTTGTTGTTTATTTTTTGTGTGACTTTTTTGCACTACTTCTGCTAAGTTCAATCATATCCCAGAATTAGAATTTGGAGAGAGTTAAAGATTTGATTTAGTTCATAAGTAAGTAAGTAAAGTTTACTTCTATAGCACATTTTTACAGACCAAGGTCATCCAAGGCACTAAGCTTCTCAAAGTTTCTATTGAGAAGCTTCTTTGAGCAGTCAACCCAGGAAACCACGAAGAGCAGGAAGTCATGGTAACAATATTGCTATCTTACAATTGTCTGGTGTAGAAGAACCAAATAACTTTATTCTACATCCAATATTTAATGACTATGTTTAAACGTTTAAATGATTGTTTTCCTTGTGTGTGACTGGAACTTATGAGATCCAATAGAGACTATGATATCAGGAGCAGAAGATCGTGTTATTGTGCCGTCGCCCTCAGAGTGATGCATCCTGCTGCTTGTACCTTCTCCACACGTTGTTGAAGCTGAATGGGTTCGAGAACTGCTTTTCTGGGCGTCCCGATTTCCTCATCGGCGTCAGCTCCGAGAAACACGCGCTCATCAAAATCTCCCACCGTCAACACGTACTCTTCATACTCTCGATTTATGGCTTTACTGAAACACAAGAATTCTAAATGATATTCTGATCATAATATTGCAGCCAGTGTTTATAAAAAAAAAAAAACAAAAAGGGCTAGGGTTTTACTTGTTATCAATGAAGTTGTGAGGGTCCAACATGTCAGTCAGATAGTCCTCATTTCCTCTGAGGATCTGAAAAAGTCAAACGTACAGAAAGAATATTTATTGAATGTGACAGTTACATATTGATTTAATTTGACAGAATTTAAAACAAAATGGGATCCACAACAACAGGACAACAATTTCTTGTCCAATACAAATGAAAATGGTCAGCACTAGATCATATACGGAATCGGGACGGAAGCGGAAGTAAATATAACAAACTACCTTTCCATGCCTAAACTTAACCAGCCATTCACATAAAATAACCCCAGCCCAGCCTTAACCCTAACCTGAACCATCTTACTCAGACGCCCAAAACTTAACCAGTCACCATTTAAGGACTTATTAGTCTAAAACTAATTCGAAAGTAGGATTGTTACTTCCGGGTTCATCCCGATTCCATATATGATCTAGTGCCGACCAAATGAAAATCGATTGGTTTATATTTTAGAGCTCAAAATGTAAATCAATTAGCAGTGTTGCCACTGTTCATGTTAATACGCAAGTATTCTCATCCAGAGTACAATATATTGTGGGAGATTCGTCGAGAGGTCTTGACTCATTTAATAATCTTTATGAGTAGTAATGTTTATTTATATATCGCCCTTCACAGACCAGAGTCACAAAGCGGTTCACAATTGTTATTCTTGGGCACTTGTCCTCTCACTCCACACAGAGATGGGAGCAGGGTCGCCGAACAGGAGGCGCATGCCAGACCTATTGTACATATTTTTAGTGGTAGGGGAAACCGGAGTACCCGGAGGAAACCTACGCAGACACGGGGAGAACATGCAAACTCCACTCAAAAAGGCCCTGGTCCGACCGGGATTCGAACCCAGGACCTTCTTGCTGAGAGGCGAGAGTGCTATCCACTCAGCCACCGTGCCGCCCATCATTTATAAATGATACACAAAATAAGCTTTGTTCACATTTAGCTTCCAGGATTTGGCTTGAGCTCTAATTCACTGTGTTGGTAAGTATACTCACCCGTCGATCAAAGAGCTTCTCGATGTAGGGTTTGAAGTAGTGTTGTTTGATGCCTTTGGCCTCCACCACAATTCCGTCATGGAGCTCACAGAGTCTGTCCAGGACGCAGGGCGGCGGCTCGTCTACCAGAGGCCCGTCCAGTCTGTACTGAGCCGGGAGACCTGAGGGAAGTTTAAACATGTCATAATGCAGTGGTTTTTACTATGCGACTTTTGGGGATCTGAGGAAAACACTTTAGTTTTTTGGTCGACCAGGTTAAATTTAGTCACAATCGTGTTCCAAGCCGTTTACATTCTTTAATCCTGATGTTTCCTTTCCAACCGTTTTAAAGTAGTGCGAAAAATAAAAAAGTAGGGAGACGTACCCTTGAATGTCAGGTTGATGAGATCTTTCCTGTTTGAACAAAGCAGAGCGTTGCCAAACACCAAGTCCAAACAGCAGAGAAGCAAATGATAGGAGTTCACCAGGTCATCGCCGATCATACTGAAGTTACCTGGAACAAGGAGACAAGGTTAATAGTTTTGCCAGGGAAAAAATTTGAAACAAGCAAAATACTCAGTTATAATTGTGGTACCTTTGGTGTATACAAACAATGTCCAGCAGAACTTGAACACATCACTGATGTGACAGGGGATCCTCCTGAAGACAGACCCATTGACTGTTTAGTTCATTAATCATTAAAACACAAGGAAACATAGGGTTGAATCAACTCAACGGAGACATTTGCACAAGCAAATAGAGATATAAAAGAATGATTGCCCCAATGATCAAATTATGTAACTAACTGATAAGTCACATTTAAGGACCCTGTCTAGTCAAAGCAGGACTTTTAATAAATTGAAAAAGCGGCGCTTTACAAACTAAATTCAAGTTCCACATAGTAAATAAATAGTAATAATGCAGCAAACAAAACATTTGCATATAACATGATCACACCTGTGTTTGCGGCTGCGTGGTTGCCGCGGAGGCTCGCCTCCCAGTGGGTTCTGGAACATATCCCTGAAAATAGGCTCAAACTTCCGGAAAATCACAGTGGAAACCTCAAAGTTCCTCTCCAGACGGTCCATCCTCAACCTGAAGTCCTGCAACAGGTTTGACATGTCCGACCACTTCTTCATCTTTGAGAAGAATTGGATCAGGCTGCAAAGATAAGTGGGGGTAAAAACTCAAATGGTGAAATGCTTTATATTTATTCATTTTTGTATTCCTGCTGTAAAAGCTGCTCTGACTTATGTTTTTACCACAAAAACATATTAGACAATGCAGGCAGAGTCAAGTGGAGGAATAAACCTATAATCTGTGTTTATTTCATACAGTACATTTTCCATGCACAAAAACATCAGAGTCGATTCATTTGCAGTCTCACCTGAGCTTAGAGGTGCGCAGGATCCGGGTCAGAGACACACAGTTTCCCTCCATCAGGCCTTTGCCCACAGTGGGAACAGAGCCTTTCCGACACGCAGCGTACAGCGCACAGGCCAGCCAGTGCACCACCTCCCCCTGGAAAACATCATGTAGATCATGTTGCGATTTTTCAAGCTTCTCAGTTCAGTAAATTACTTATTAATAAACTATAAATCTATTTTCAAGCCGCAGTGTTTTTGGTGGTCATGCTGGACCATGACTGTCACCCCCTGCAGGACGCTCTCTCTGCTCTGGAGAGCAGCTTCAGTGACAGACTAATTCACCCTCGCTGTGTGAAGGAGAGGTTTCGTAGGTCTTTCCTTCCTGCTGCTGTCAGACTGTAAAATCAGAACTGCTGAGCTTGTAAATTTCATTCATCTGTAAATAAGTAAATTCTTAAATCATGTGCAATACTGCAACTTCAGAATGTCACTGAACAATGTCACTTTACCTTATCTACTTATTATCCTGCACTATTTAACTGTACAGTATATAACTGCACTACTACATGTATATATTTCTTGACTGGTATTGAAGCATTTCCAGCATCTACAGCCAGTTATGCTAGTTAAGAAACATAGCTACTACTAATTTTGTATATATTGTGTGATTCTTGCTCTTACTACTGTCCTGTATGTGCGCTGCAACAACGAAATTTCCCCACTGTGGGACGAATAAAGGAACTCTTATCTTATCTTATCATGAACATATAGGACAACAGTTAACATTAATATTATGCAAGACTGTTTATGGACGAGGTTTTTACTGCATCAAATCAAAATTTGCGTTGTAATATTTTAAACAAGATATTTCTCAATCAATTCGAGCTTGTCTGATAGTTACATTAAAACAAGATGAGGGACGTGCTTCTGCAAACATATTGGACAAGCGGTACGTTTTCCCAGGTCATATTCAATACATCTCAATGGAATAAGTCTGTAATTGAACGAGGATTTGTGAATTCTCGTGAAAAATAACGAGTCCACTCCTTTTTTAAACCTACCATAATAAACACATCTATTCTCATGTTGTCATACATCTATTAATTTTCATACAGTCCGGATTGGATCTGAAGGCACGTCAGACCACCTTTGTATACATTTATTTAAAAGTCAAGATTCTAGCAAACGACATTCTCAGCACAACTCCATGACAACACATGTACACAAACTGTCTGCTCAAGAAAATCACATCAATTCCTCCTAATGCTCTAAAATTAGAATTACACGTGAAGATCTCTCCAGCATTCCCTCTTCAAATAAGTATTAATTATATTCTGTAAGTCAACAAAGATATTTTATTTGCTTTTAAGAAAACTCAAACTCGCACGTTTCAGCTTGATTACAAGTAGCAGCTGATGGGACAATGGGGGACACCTCTTTTAACCCTTTAATTAAACGGCACTAGGACGAGGGAACTATGCAATGGCCTCCAGTAAAACATCGAAGCGGACCACAGAGAAACCGGGCTGTAAATGATGCACAAACCTCCAGCGTGTAGGTGTTGCAGATGGCGGTGAAGTTCTCCATGGCCTCTGTCGCCGTGTGTTCGTCCAGATTGAGCTCCTGACAGAGCGCTTCCAGACTGCGCCGGGCCGAGCTCTCCTCCATCCTCCCACTGTCCGAATCCGACGACTCCTCTCCCCGCATCCGTGCCCCCGGGATCTCCGCCGACCTACACCGAGTTTAATCCACCGAAAAAGGTGAAACACGGAACCCCGAGCCGACCACAACACAGATCTCCCCTTCGTCCCTGCGTAGAACTACAACACAGTACGCACTTCCGCATACACTTCCCACAATGCAGTGGCTTGGCGGGAAAAGTGGGAAGTGTGGGCCAATCAGAGGCGCCGCGTGCCCAGCTCACCCTGTATCAGAGCGCGTCACCTGCTGGACACACGCGTAACGACTACAACCATGGATTTATAATAATATATATAATATATACAGTCTATGATAATAATACGGTAACAACAGTCTATGGTAACAACCCGACCAGCCCGTGGATGTGGTTTGCTGTTCTTTATGCATTTAAAAAAAAAATCTAATTCACACAATTTGGTTTCACGCTTGATAGATCTGGGTGCTTGTGGCTTTTATAAAATATATTTTAAAAAATAATTATCTTATTTAATTATTAATTTAGTGTTTCTTTAAACCACATTACAATGCATTAATACAATGCAGTACAAACATAAAAGGTACATTTAAATTTAGTAAAACAGGATTTCCCAAGACTGCATATTGTAAAACTATTAAGTTCATCTTATCTTATACTATTCGGATTTTTGGTTTAACACTTAAGCACATTGTCGTCCCCTGCAACTCATATTGAGAATGCTGTTTCCTCAGTCGAAAGAAAAACTCTAATTATGAATACTTGTATTTGATTACAAGATCTAATGTATCTCTATTTTCATGTAACAAACGAAAAAAGTCACTATTTGCTCATGAAGTGTCTGTTTCATATTGGGTGCCTTTGCATGCGGCTGTCTCCCTCTTATAGGAAATGTAAGGTAATTATAAAAGTATATTTGCTGGACATTTCATTATGAATAATATATTGCAGTAAACACGTGCAAGAAAAACAACAAAGGGAAAGTTTTGGTTTTAATTCACAAGGTCACCCAATAGTTATGCACAAACATATAGCCAGGATTTTAAAAAACACACACTTATGAAATGATGTATATAAGAATAGTTGTTATAACTATTCTATATCAAACTCAATAATAAATGTGACATATTTATCATGTCTTTACAGTGTTAGTATCGTCACGACCATTGTCATAGATGTAAAGTAGCATAGAGCTGGAGATAAACTAATACCGAGTTAGCATTGTAGTTAATTTAGAATATTATTTTTTTTGGCTTACTTTTCAAAGCAACTTGTTGGGAGTTCAATTGCAAGATATATTACTATTTCAAAACTCTCTCAAACCAGTTTGGTTCTGTCACTATTTTTCACATACATTTATTTCAGGCCTCTGTCACATGCATCAGGTTTTTCAGACGGAAAAGTGTAAAGGAGACTTTAAAAAAAATCATTATGCAGTGAAGGTATTATTTGTGAACACAATTTTAGGTTTCCCAGCTTTAAGTGAATGTTTAAATGTGTATTCCCATGATTGAACATGATGTCACTTGCATTGATAAGTATATACTGTATTACTGTATGTTCTTCAATTTAGTATTGAAGTCATGTAATCAGGTGTGATGAGAAAATGAGACAGATTTCCATAGCAATAAAAACAAAAATTAAAACACATTTTACATAATTTCAATGGCAGTATGATTATTTGGCATGAAAGAAGATGAAACTCACAAATACCTACAGAAAAGCTGTATATTATAAGTTACAACAGTCTATGGTTACAACTCAGATCTGTGGAGAATGTATATTTCACAAGCTAATGACAATTATAACATCTATTGGTTAATACGTTTAATAATCTACTTTTTTTTGTTTACAAGCTGAAAAGGAAACATGTGTAAAATGCTTTTCAATACATGTTGACATTGTTTTAGAACTGAGGAAAAGCATTTGTCGAGCCTAGTTTCTCAATGGAAGCTGAACCGGCTGTTGTCCCTGGTTTCTGTGGTCTTTATGAGCAGCTTGGGCAGAGGCGAGCTGCTCTGACTGCTGTAGCCATTAGAGCTTTTAGTGGGACCTGCACACAGGAGATGGGGTGAGGTGGGGTGGGGTGATGAGGGTGAGGAGGGGGAGAGGGGGTTAATAACAAGTACACATACAAACATCCACAGCACACTTTCAAACACTTTTATTTCTAGTCTTGATCCAGTTACAATGAAGTTCTCCAGAGGCATTACTGTAGCATTATTTTTTTGATCAAATGTTCAAAACCTTAAGCTATAAACAACTGAAATTGTTTAATCAAAATAATAATGAGCCCATAAATCAATTATCAAAACAATCGTTGAATATCATCAACTATATAGTTCCAAGTATCCAAGTATTTGCAATATCCTTTAAGATGTCATGGGGGCCACCGTACAGTTTTTAACGTATTCATAAACTATACATTTATGTTGGAGCCGCAGTGTTTTTGGTGCACATGAACATGGGACAACAGTTAACATTACTATTTTACACAAGTCTTTTATAAATGTATATTATGGACGAGGTTCACACATTCAAAAGCAGAAGGGTGCTGATCTAATAAATGAATTACAAAGATTTGTGTCCTCATAATAAACCATTCGAATCAAGAAAATATAAAGAGTGATTTTTCTCTTTGGTTTCGCTGTGGTCCTGGTCTCCGGTGTCTTTACTTACTGTAGTTGGAGACGGACTGGATGTTGAGGATGGACTGTTGGCCCAGTCTAAAAGACACATCAAGAATAAGTCAAAGTAAAGGTGCACTTTATTTATCCCAATAGGGCAATCCATCCTCTGCATTTGACCCATCATGATGCCACTGCTCCTGACGAAGGCTTCTGTCAGCAGCAGTGGTCGCCGAAGTACAGCGCCCGGGAACCCATCTCCAGTTGTTAATGCTCAGCTTGGTTAGGACTACCGCAGTTGGAGGATTTTACCTATTGTACATGTTTTTAGTGGTAGGGGAAACTGGAGCCCCCGGAGGAAACCTGAGCAAACTTCGCTGAGAAAGACCCTGTTCCGACTGGAATTCGAACCCAGGAGCTTCTTGCTGAGAAGTGAGAGTGCTATATGTACAGAAGAATTGTCCAAGAAATGTTTTCGGCATACTTAGCATCACATATCTGATCTAAAACATGTTATAGTAGCAAATTATGGAAAGAAGAAGATTTTTTAGGAAGGCATAGTTAGTCCCACAGAAATGATAACAGTGGGCGATTGTAGGTGACTATGTTGTCAGAGAAATGGTGCCTTGGAGGTTATTATACAGTATATTAGTCAAACATGCAAAAATTACTCTAAAAGCGTATTTGAGATGGTACCTAGCATGGTAGAATACTTTTTCATAATAATCACCTTTCTATATGCCATCTCCTAAATGCCACATACACGTGTCAGTAAGGGCAGTACCTGTCCTCCTCTCCTTCCAGAAGCTTCCTGTATGTGGCAATCTCAATGTCCAGAGCCAACTTCAGGTTCATCAGGTCCTGTGGGTGAAAGTAAAGTGACTACCAGGCAGCGAGACATTCCCTTTGCAACAAGATCAACAATAATGGGACATTTTATGGACCATTTTATTCTTACCATTCTTGGAAAAATCAGAATATTGACTACTTTTGGTAAAATAGAGTCCAATGTACTGTATTCTGTTATATCTCCTGTCCAAGGAAATTTAGCCCAATTACTAGTAATAATTAAATGTATCGTAATTGCTCCTGGAAATTAAATAGTCCCAGTAGTGCTTAGGGACTAGTACTACTGGGACTATTTGGGACGAAGTGGGTAGTACTTTGCTAAGTTAGTTGATTGATTTGCACTTTTTTGAGTAAAGCAAGATTTTTCACTCAGTTTTATCACAGTACAGCCTTTATTCACCTGTCCACAGCTGAAGCACTGGACACTGACCTGGTACTCGCGGAGCTGACGGGCCATGTCCTGCTTGGCCCTCTGCAGTGCGTCCTCCAGGTCCCTGGTGCGGGCTTTGGCCTCTTTCACCGCAAGCTCTCCTCGCTCCTCCGCCTCAGCCAGTTGGTTCTCCAGGCCACTCCGCTGAGGACCGTGAGGGGAAGTTGTGATATAAACATCCCTATGCACACTTCTGACATCATTGGTTTTACCTGTGCTTTGACAGCTTCAATCTCACTCTGCAGGCGGCTGATCAGACGGCTCACCTCGGCCAGCTCTCCCTTAAGAATCCTCAGCTCATCGCCAAACTGACTGGCCTGCACCGACATCTGGTCAAACTGGAATAAGAACAAAACGTCCTGAGAAATCTTCACAGTGCAAATTAAAGATTATTGCCTTGTTCAGGACACCGATGATGAGTCATAGCTGCCACAATGAGGAACTAGAAATATGAGGTCAAGTTCCTCTTATTATCTGCAAAATCTTTTTGCATCCAGTAGTGGATTAAAATCGATGTTTAATTTCTGTGGTGATGCAGGACCCATGAAGGAAGATAAATATTTATATTTAAAACCTCAAAAAAAACAGTATATTAAAGTATATTTTATAATAAAACTTAGATAAAGTTTAACTATTGTGAGCAGGAGCCCCTTCACACTTCCTGCCATGATACTGATGTCCGTACCTTGGTCTTGTACCAGGCCTCTGCCTCCTCTCTGCTCCGGGCAGCGATGTCCTCGTACTGCGCCTTGACATCAGCCACGATCTGCTCCATGTTGAGGCTGCGGCTGTTGTCCATCTGCACCACCACAGAGGTGTCTTTGATGCTGCTCTGCAGCTCACGCAGCTCCTGCAGGACAGACAGAGGAAGGGGCCGACACAGGAAGACAGGGGTAGACACAGGGAAGACAGGGGGAGACAAGGGAAGACAGGGGGAGACAAGGGAAGACAGGGGGAGACAAGGGAAGACAGGGGTAGACACAGGGAAGACAGGGGGAGACAAGGGAAGACAGGGGGAGACAAGGGAAGACAGGGGGAGACAAGGGAAGACAGGGGTAGACAAGGGAAGACAGGAGGAGACAAGGGAAGACAGGGGGAGACAAGGGAAGACAGGGGGAGACAAGGGAAGACAGGGGTAGACACAGGGAAGACAGGGGGAGACAAGGGAAGACAGGGGCAGACGGGTGTAGGGACAATCACTTTTCTGAGAGCCTAAATTATCTTAAGGCAGTCCCTTTTTACGATTGTGTGTATGTTCATGTGTAGTGTGATGTGTATATACTGTACTTGAATAACTTAATTCAAAACCCTGTTGAGCTTTAAATGATTAATCTGAATGTGGAAATTGTTCTTGTCCTTTTTTGACCAATGTCAGAGAAATAATAAACTAAACTAAGCCTTCCCACTCCAGATCGACTGGCCCTGATCCAACAGTGAGTCTGAGTGTGTAGTTGCAGTGGTTTAGTCCTGTGTCACTAATGTACCTCCTCATAGACATTGCGCAGGAAGTTGATTTCGTCAGTAAGCGCTCCAACTTTGTCCTCCAGGTCGGCCTTCACCAGATAGGCAGAGTCCACGTCCTGATCACAGAATAAAGATTAGAATGACACATACTGTATGATTGAAGTTGTCATTCAATGCCCTCTAAAAAAATCCTCGAGCAGTAACATTTTAATTTCAATTCACTGAATTTTGAATATGTCCATTTTTAAAATCATCTTTGTGATATGCTACAACTGAGTTCATAGATGTGGCACAAACCAGAGAAGTGTCCTGCCCATGGACACAGAGACGTTATGCACAAGCCTGACACTGTGACATTATGGTTTTAAAATGGTTTCCCCTCCCGGCACTAACCAGGCACTATCCTGCTTAGCTTTAAAGATCAAGATTACACTTTCCCAAGCTTGTGTGTAGTTAACACCAAGATAAATTCCATTCCAATGACCCTCTCAAACATGCAGATGTGTGTGCAGATTGAATACAAGTTTTAGTGTAACTATAACAAAAGAAAATGATTCTAACAGTTGTGTTGTTATTGTTGGTGTGATGTTGAGTGTAGGAGGAGCGCACAAAGACACTGTACAAAAGGTAGTGTCACGTTCCGGACCACACCTGTGAGTGAATGAAACTGACCTTCTTCAGGATCACAAAGTCGTTCTCCATGTTGTTCCTTTTGTTAATCTCATCCTCATATCTGGCAACACATGGTGGAAATGCATTGCATTTTTTTATTTTATCTTTTGAAAAATAAGACAAACTCAAGTCATTATTGTCATCCATCTACTAAACCTTATGCAAGCTCTAATTTACGATGGATTTTATGCAAACCACAGAAAATGTGCCTTTAATCTAGGGTTGAACCAGATCGAAACTAGACACTTTATAGGTGACTGAGAAAAAATATAGCAAGCAACAAAATAGGGCTATTTCTGAATAGTTTTAGAAATTATTTAGAAATTATTAAGTCAATTATACACATTCTCCGTTTTTCATTATGAGTAACATTCTATTTTAGTGTTGCAACACAATTACTTTAGAGCATTAGGATTTGATACAGCAAAGAAAGCATCTGTAAATCAGGAAAACCAGCTTTAGATCAGGCGACTGTCATAGAGTAAAATGTATCCTGTCCTAGTGCAGTGTTGCCGTTGTCTGAGCGTATGTTGTACTTGTGTTTGTAGTCCTCCACCAGCCCTTGCATGTTGCGCAGCTCCCCGTCCAGTTTGCTCTTATCGTTGTTGACCAGGTCCATCTGGCGTCGCAGTCCGGCCATGTAGGCCTCGAACAGCGGCTCCACGTTGGAGCGGCTCACGCCGTGACCCTGCAGCAGCTCCAGCTTGGTCTCCAGCATCTTGTTCTGCTGCTCCAGGAAACGCACCTGCACGAGCACAAGTCAGGGTCCAGAGGATAAACGACAAACACAACATGAAGAAGGATTATAGATTAAGGACAGCAGCACTTCCATGGAGAGGACTGGTATCTGGCAGAGTGCAGGAAAATGTAATTGTGCTATTTCTATGTTGCCTGGGGAATTCTAGACTCATATAACATATAAACTAGGTTATCAATCCAGATCTCAGGCGAGTGGAATGGATTACAGCTGGTTGTATCAAGATACAGTAGTGTAGTGTAGTAGACTTTTTCTAATATTACCAAAGATGCCTGTGGTCAATGAATAAATGTTATATTGTGAAAGGAAGGAATTCATAAATAAAAAGGGACAAAAGTTTATGTTCTTGTCTGTTCTATATTGGATTGGGTAAGGGTGTCACCATCCCTGACTGTAGGGAAGCTTCACAACAAAACACTTTGTGCTTCATGGAGACAAATCAAGACCGAAGGACCGGCCGGTTCTGTGAAGGGACTCAAATCAACTGTGTTTACAGTCCAATCTGAACCAGAAATCACTTTCATTGGACCAATTGATTGATGTGAAACCACCAGAATATACACTGGTCAAGTAGTCACTCAAGACTATTGGTTCTCCCAACTGTCAATCACTGGTTATATGTGCTCGTCAAATAAGACCGGAGAGTTTTATTCAAAGTGGAGATGGTGGTTCTTTCCTGAAATTTTGGAAAATCCTCCTATACCTATAGAAGGACTGTTGCAATTTCTTCTGAAGTAAGTAAGTAAGTAATCTTTATTTATATACCACCTTTCACAGACCAGTCACAAAGCGGTTTACAATTGTTATTATTTTTGGGCATTTGTCTCTCACTCCACACAGAGATGGGAGCGGGGTCACCAGTACAGGAGGCGCATGCCAGACCTATTGTGCATGTTTTTAGTGGTAGGGGAAACCGGAGTACCCGGAGGAAACCTACGCAGACACGGGGAGAACATGCAAACTCCACTCAGAAAGGCCCTGGTCCGGCCGGGATTCGAACCCAGGACCTTCTTGCTGAGAGGCGAGAGCACTCTTGCCTCTCTTCTTGCTGAGAGGCGAGAGTGCTATCCACTCAGCCACCGTGCCGCCAAGACAAGAAGTGAACCAAGACATGAAACACTTGCATGTATAGATAACAAATGATTAAAGTTCACTTCCTACAGTAGAAATCAGTCATTTGCACATCAGTCAGAGTTGAAACCATCTCCTTCCTGAAGCGTGTCATTCCGATGCACTACTGTGGGAATTACTTGTGTCTCATGTTTCCGCCCGGAGCTGGCTCGATCTGTCCCTCTATTCTAAGCTCTTCTCCAGCACAAAGCACCTCTGTTCGGGCCCTTCTCTTTGGGTCGACATGACCTCTTTATCGGGTTACACTGCTGACGGCTCCATGGGACAGGGCCACGGCTCGCCCTGTCCGAGTAGCAGCAAGTTTAGCTCTAAAAGGTGGTGTTACAGTCGGCTGGTTTGGCTTGAATACGTGTGGTCTGTTTGTAGAGGACAGCAGAGAAAACCTTGTCATAACACTAACTTGTTATTAGCACGTTCAATTTAGCGCTATCCCTGCAGTTTAACCACCTCTACCTGCCCATGTTTCTGTATTTACTCAATAAGTGTATGTAGACAACAACCAAAAAAAAGTAATGGAAAAGAATACATCTTGTCTTGAATTGTTGCCTAAAAATAATATATTTTTGGAATCTAATGTTAAAATTTGGAAATACATTTTTGATATCCAGCAGACACATACAGAGCAATATGCTGTGTTATAAAGAAGGATAGAAAGATATTTTCAAAATCAACCCTCAGAAAGTGATGGCGATACAAAATGTTATATTCAGATGTTGCCAGGGATGCAAGATGATTGTATTATATCATGTGGTTTAGATTAATAAATTATCTGTTTTTGTTGGTCCAATAACACTGTAAAAGGATACACACAATATTAAGCATTTATGGCATGTTCCTAAAAATATGGAAACCAGTTCATGAGACTATCCTCAAACTTCCATGAGCAATATATTTGTTATTTTTTGCATAGATTATGAAAAGCCACATGCCCATCTGTCACACAACATGAAGCCTTCTGTATAAGAATGGATCTGTGTTGGTTTTGTCTTGCGTGAGCGCTCCACTGACCTCTCTGCATGAGGGCCTGGGCTCTTAAATATTTCAGTGTCCCAGGACAGACCACAGGGGGCAGCGTGATAAAGTTACACCAATGATAAATCCATGGGTCACACTTACATAAGAGGGCCACTATTCACATTTGGGACTTATCATTTGGATTAATAAAACAATAACCGTACACACTCCCACATTAAAATATGTCGTATTCTGTTGATCGTCATATGTTCAATTGATATTTTAGAGGACTATTTGTTGCACTGGGACAAGAGTTTGCCTTCTACAATATTACATGAAATCAAAATGAATATAGTATATTACAGACACTTATTTAAGTATATTTTGCTTATGTTGTTTTGCAGAATACGTTTTACAGATATGTTGTAAAAACAGCTCATCATGTGAAAGCCAGATCCCATACGACCTCTGAAGCTAAGCAGTGCAACGCCTGGTTAGCACTGTGATGGGAGACCTCTGGGAACATTGCCACAGAAGGGCGGCTGCGGTTATAAAGGGCCAAACTGCCGGTGTGTCCTTAGGCAAGACACTTCCTCACAAATGGATGTGGTGTTTGTGTGTGTGAATGGTTGGTGGGAGTCGGAGGGGCCGGACGCACATACAAGTTGCCTTGCTTCTGTCAGTGTGTCCCAGGGCAGCTGTGGCTATAGTTTATCACCACTGTGTTTTGAGTGAAAGAATAATGACATGTGAAGATTCTTTGAGTGTCCTGAAAAATGCTATATAAAACCAATGCATTGTTATTACGATATTATCATTATTATAAAGAGATTACTGTAACTCAATTTGTTCTCTGAGAGTTAAATTACTAACATTTGTATTACTTAAACCAATTAACCATATTGAGTACAATTCCACTCACAATTATGTAGCAATCAAACATTTCCAATGACCAGTTGTTTATTTTTTTATTTTTACAAACATGTTCATAATATTACTGAGCTGTAGTGTCCTCCTTGTATAAGAATGGCTCTTGATTTATGATACAATTCCCGCAGCGGCATTGGGGAAAGATCCCTTGAAACCCGGTGATTGTCATCTGTGAGTCTGTGATGTGATGGGCTTTGAATGGTTCTATTGTCAGAGTGATACAGACGCCGTGAGAAAGACCAGGAGACTCCAAATGCACTATCGCCACAGAGCCCTTTGGACACCAGAACTGCATTGATATATATTTTATTCCACCCTGACTTGTATATGGGCCGACATTTAAGGTTTCTAAAGATGCATGGATTTAAACTTATTTTCATGCTTGGAAATGACACCGAACTCCACTTGTGGTTGAGCTGAATTGGGTGGAATGTGTATTAGTTATTCCATAAACTATGACTGGGTGAATATCAACAGAATGTGATTATTATTATTTCTGTCACACACTGTTTTACGGACCAACAAGTCACTTTAACTGTTTTTGAGTAACAGCTTTCAGCCTAGAGCTCTGGTACTGACTGATATTGACACCCCTTAAATGACGCATTAAGAATTCAGGTTAACTTCACTTTCAGGGTTTGTGTGTGAGAGTGTATCTTTCACTGCTACTACTGTTGTATACACAGGTGAACTGCTTTTATTCTGCATTCAAGAATATTTTTTATGATAATAGCTCAACAGTTACTTTTGCACTGGTTGTTTATATTTGATTATATTCTAAGCTAATTTCGGTAAATGTTCCTCATAGATACCAAAATGCGTCATTAAAAAAGGGCCTGTCTATGCCTCTCATTTAATGACTAATTTTTTCTATTGGTTGAGGTTTTTGGCATACTTTATTGTCTTAAAAACAGAGGGGACCCATCACAGTACTAACCAAGATCTCTTCGCATTGGAGATCTGCTGGAATCAGGCCTTCAACGCAAGTGTGGCCACAATCATGAATATGTAACTATTGGGTGAATGATCCTGTAAAGTCTAGCAAAATTATACGTATGACATGTACACTATACACACCACAAACAAGTTTCTGCTTGAACAAAATACAGACATAATTTTGAAACAAGGTATAAGAAGAAATTAATGTTTTAAAATATGTGCCTCAAAATATAGTTAAAATAGTCATTGTCTTTTGACACACTGTATTAGGATGTGGTTTAGGATTATGAAATTATGATATTAGACTGCAAAAAAATATAAAATATGGAGGAAAATATTGATGTAATCAAGTTTTTTTTTTATTTGAGTACAGTCAGATTGTCTTAAAACAAGATTTGCCAATGGGACAAAGCCATTTAGTCTTTAAGAACTGTTGATTTTCTCATTTCAAGGGAGTCATTTATTTTATCTTATTAAATAAACAATTTTGCTTTGTCCCTTTGGCGAATCTTGTTCTCAATTGAAGATACATTTGACAAAATTTTCATCACTTTTTGCAGTCTACATTTATAATTAATTGTTTTATTGTACTTGGTCACTTTCTTCACAGCATCCTGGCTTCCCACACTTCCCATCTTTTTTTCTTTTTACTTTGAATAGTTATCGATCCGACTTCACACCCTCTTACCTTGTCAATGAAGGAAGCAAAGCGATTATTGAGGCTTTTTATCTGCTCCTTCTCGTGGGCTCGGCTCATGGAAAGGCTGGGGTCTATCTCCAGGTTGAGGGGGGCCAGCAGGCTCTTGTTGACGGACAGTGTGGCCAGCGGCTGGTTCAGGCCGTGGTGCCCGTTGGCGTACAGGGAGCTGGAGCTGAGGGACACCCCGCTGAAGCCTCCCGCGGACGGGCCATAGCCGCTGACTCTCCTGCTGCTGCTGCTGGTCCGGACAGACGCGCTGGAGCTGATTCTCTTGGTGCGGCTGAGACTCATGGCGACACAAGTAGGAGTCTTGTGTTTGGGTTCTGGCCTGGGATGGAGCAGCGAGGTTGTGGGACGTCCCGTGTGAGAGGCGCAGGTGTCCTCTCCTGGTTTTAAAGCGGGGCTGGGTGGAGTCAGGTCAAAGTTTGGTGTCAGATGATAGGGGTGTTATGGAGACTACTGTGGAGCTATTGTTGTGGCGGCACAGTCATCGAAATGTGGGATAAAAGACAAACGTGTAGGATGAAACAATATAGAACTGTACAATTTTGTGAAATGAGGTCTTCTATTATGCAACTATATTTTTATACTTGATTAAACTATGATTTATAATGGTTGCTTACTGTACTTACTACACAGACACTTCCTATACAGTTTTGAGGTGAAAGGTGAAAATGTTACACTATGCTTCTATGTATGCTTACATGTGGTAACATTTATTGAGAACAAGTGGAAATACACTAAAATATGTGCATTATAGTCGTTTTTGTACAAGTCTTCTCTTGGCTGGTGACTTGGCCTTCTCAGTAGACTCTCTCATCTTTCTCTTGACAGCAGCAGACGTCTTCTTTCTTCCTCCTATAAAGTTTGAACAACAAAAATAAACAATACTTAGGCCTGCTTTAATCCCTGAAGCTGTCCCAGTGTCAAAACCATAGACTAAGTATTATCGGACGTAGTGACGGCTCTCTCCGCTGTTGGAACTTATGTGTCATCACTTTTGCCTCTTGCTGTCTTTTTCAAAATGGTCTCAAGTGGCCCCTCCCGCAGGAAAATGTGCAAAAACGCATTTGTGCATAAGTTAGCTGGCACGAGCCCCATATAAGTGCCTTCAAAAGCCCACAGCAGCTAAACTAGGCTGGTCCGGAAAAAAATAAAACTCCCCTCTGCATTAGCATCTTGAGTCAAGAGCCGAATTTTGAACCGTCCTGTAAATCTGTTTTTTAGTAGTAAGCTGTAGTAAGTCTTCATTGGATAATTCTGTTTCCGGGTAGATTACAAACATCTGGGACCCGCCCTCACTGACCGAAACATTAAGCTTCCCTAGTCCATGCTTCTACAAAGGACTTTTATTTCACAAGTTGACAAATGCCTCAGACCTCTGTTTCTGACGACACTATTCACTTTTCCAATGTTTCTTTTTAAACCTACAATCCTGTAGGTCCTCACTTGTACCTCTATAGAAAGATACTTAAGAGCTGTTGACGTGCCGGTTGCCGAACCTTTGCTGTTGCCCGTTTTAAGTGTTATGCTTCTCTTTACAGGCAGAGGGCGTCTTTTTGGACCAGCTTTGAGCGTCACCTCCACAGGATAATGATCACTGATGCGAAGAGCCTGAACAAGGAAAAAAGTACATCACAGTTGTACCTCCTGCTGTAAATAAATTAATACATAAAAGCTACCAATAGAAAAAAAATTGTTTGCAAGACCTAATTCTTATATTTGTAAATATGTGGAGAAGTAACCTGATCATAGAAAGAATTTAGTTTAAAGATATTATCCATGATTGTTTCTACTATATACCATATAATAAATATGAATTGATCTGTGTGCATCAATTCATGTTTATTATTATGTTAATTTTATAATTTATTTACTATATAGTTCAATTCTCTACATATGCTGCCATAAATGGGCAATCAGGCCAATCTGAACTCAGGAGAGATAACTTGACAGACCTTAATCTGCATAAATATTAGTAAGTAAGTTTTTATTTATATACCGCCTTTTCACTGCAGATCTGAGTCTCAAAGCGGTTTACAATTGTTCATTTTGGGCATTTGTCTCTCACTCCACACAGAGATGGGAGCGGGGCCTGTACAGGAGGCGCATGCTAGAACTATTGGACATATTTTTAGTGGTAGGGGAAACCGGAGTACCCGGAGGAAACCTACGCAGACACGGGGAGAACATGCAAACTCCACTCAGAAAGGCCCTGGTCCGACCGGGATTCGAACCCAAGACCTTCTTGCTGAGAGGCAAGAGTGCTATCCACTCAGCCACCGTGCCGCCCAAATATTCCTGTATATAAAAAAATATGTAAAATATTTTGTACAATTACACAAAACTACTGACATAAAAAGATGCAACATTTTTCAGATAATGTACTAGTATTCCAGACAAATGGGAAATAGATGGGAGTCAGTGTATATTTAATAAATTAGCAGGGTGTAAAAACAAACAATAAGATGCAGTATGACTAAATAAAATATACTCACAGTGTCATCATTTAGTCTGAACTCTTTTTGGAAGTTGAAAGTCTTAGCTGAACCTGGAACCACAGCACGGAGCATTTTCTCCCCATACACCACTATCCTGAACACACACACACACACACACAATATAAATGTAGAGAATAAATGTTATAAAAAGCATTTAGTGACCTCTTAACTGGGCGACTGAGATGATTTAGCAGTACACCGGTAGCATAAACATGTTTCCAACTTGAAATGTATTGTGATATCCCATTATTTTTGTTCATATTTTGAACACATTTCTAATTACAAAGCCACAGAGGTGAGAAACAAAACAGACCTGTCATAAGCGTTGTCGTTATGGTTACTGCTTGTAGTATCAACATCATCTTTGATCAGCCAATGGTATGATTCGGAGCGGATTCTGATGGTTTCCAGTTTCTTTTTGGAGAGATAACGCCCATCGGCATTAAAATCCCCTAAAATCATGATGTTCTTTTAGAGGGGAAAAGAAAAGAGACAGAAATGAGTAATTAATAAGCAAAATAAGTGGTTCCAGAGGTGGTTTTTAACGCTTTCACAGGAAAACAAACTCAGTGCCTCTTTAAGTTTGTCTATTCAGTATCTGAGAAGGTGAAATTAGTATGTATACACTGCTGACAATGAAGAAAATGTTATGAATATCAAAAATACATAATGAATGAATCAACTTTTATCTTTGAAATCCTCATTTTTAGCATTTCATTTGGTGGAACACAGAAACACCCATTTCTTTGAACTCACATCACTTCCCCAGTTCTTAAGCACAACTTGAACCACGTCGTGCAGCTCATCCAGCTCCTTCAAAGAATCGTCTGGTTTTGTGTGGACTGGAATCAGAACTAGGTCTTTTACAACTGCAAAACACCCAAAAAAATGAAGCGATGATGAGAGTTCATACAGTAGTGGCCGTTGTGTAAATGAGAGATAATAATAACAATGATAATAATACCTAAAACTTGTATAACGCTTTTTCAAACACTCAAAGACGCTTCACAAAACATACACAAATAACCGTTAAAGAACAATAAACATCAGGTGAAAATCCACAGGAGCAATGCTAACAAAGCATTCAGCGTTTCACTTTGGACTAGAGGAGTAATAGTATTTTTTTTGAAGCAGTTTTACAATGTATTTTATCATTTTTACAGGCAAATAAAATTCTAGAAATAAAGAAAGCTCAAAAGGAGAAGGCAGAAGCAAAATGATTATAAGTTCCTTCCCCATTATCAATACTTCATTTAAGCGGCTGCAAAAAGATTACAATTTTCACATGACATGGTTGTGTTTCTGCTGCTACTACACCTTCATTTCCTCCTACAGGGATCAATTAAGTATCTACCTATCTACAACATTAAGGAAAGCCAGGTGAAAGAAGTGGGTTTTATGAAGCAATTAAAGATGTAACTCCCACAGACCTGTTGTTGGACAGCTGAAGCGCAGGATGAAAGGTTCTCGGGCAAAAGCGTCTGCGTCTCCAGCCTGGTCATCTTCATATTGGTAAGATTCTGTCAGAGACACCTCACCCGCTCTGAGGAACACCAAAGTCAAGATCGTCAAAGCATGAGGCTCATTTCTATTGCCCATGTGACTAGTATTGAAGATTTAATGTCCAACGAAAATATAAGATACAAGATTTGATTTGCCATTTGCAGTAAAACCACATTGGAAAAACTGCACAAGACTACCCCAGTGTGCATCACAATAGTACACACCAGAGCTCTTGGAAAAATTGTTCTCTGCTTTATGATTTAATTCACCTAACACCTCAAAAACAAGTCTGATATCGAAGAACACACTGAAGTCTGTCCTAAGAAATGCAATGTTTAGTTTTATTCACAGGTTGAACGAGTCGGTGAACCTAGTTGTTGTTGTTGTTTTGGTGAATGTTAAGTTCAGTACAACACGCTATATTTCTCAGTTCTGGGAACACTGGTGCAAGTGTCTTTTGTAAATGAGTCATTAGACTTTGTTATTTTATTTTATGTGTTTTTCTGTGTCTTGTGGTGTCCTTGTATTGCCTTTTATATGCCCTTGAGTCTGGAATAAAGATTATTATATTATCATTAATGTAGTTACCTGTAAAAACAGACAAATTGTTCTTTGTAGCTGTCTCGTCCCAAAGGGCAACTGGAAACCATCAAATATGGCCGACGTTTGTTAGCTCTGTAAGAACAACATATATTATCACGTCAATAAATGTTGTATTTTGAACTATGTTGTGTTGAGAGGTACAGCCAACAATACATGTCATGGATATTGAAATGGAAGACAGGGATTAAAGCTGGGCTACCTATTTATTTATTTGTTTTCATAAATAATGTGTGTTGTTTGTCTCCTCAGTGAAGACCACCAAAATACCACAACTTGACGTCTTCATATTACTTGAAAATGTTTGTATACACTAGCCCTGTGACAGGTTGGCTTTTTTTGTTTTGAGAGTGAGGAACTAGAACAATAGATTTTTAGTACATAATTCTCTCTCTCTCTTTTTCAAGTTAGGCACCCGGGCTTTAAGATGTCTCGAGCAATTTTCCTGACCAGGGGTTAAAGAATAAAACTATTTCCCCTCAATCTCCACTAGAGGTTGCTATACATACAAAGAAAGACCACTTGACTAAACTTATTTTTTAGGTGCAAAAGGGGCACTTCATGAATTGTTGAACAGGCTTTATGTGAAATGTTTGTGGTTTCCCTATCATTCTGTAGCCTGCAGAGAGGATTTTAAGATGCAAGTACATTACCTAATGAATTAATAAATGACAGATGATTATGAGTCCACTCACCGGAGGCTGTTTAGCTTCTCAAGTAACATCTTCATGGCCTCGCCGCTTTGGTCCATCACCTCCAGGACCACCACCACACTGTACCGACTCAGAATCTACACATCATTCCAAATATTCACACAAATATATAAAAAACATAAATATACAAAAATGTAAACATTACCATGACCAAATATTTGACCACCATCCTGTCTGTAACTTTCTTGATTCCCAAGTTTTTAGCATTAAAAGCAGCAATCTTCATTTTTCTGGAGGTTAAAATAAAATATGCACAATTCTATGACATGAAGTTACTGTAAAGGGCAAAGGCTGCGTGTATCACAAACACAGAGGAAGTGTCTCTGGCGGATCATTATCAGCCTCAAACCATCTGCTTCCTGATGTCAATAACTCAGGGTTAGTAAATACAACTTAGAAAAGGTCCTACAAACTCTTCTGAGCATTTGTAGTCACACATTAATGGGAACTTTAGTGTTACTTTCATGTATAGTTGCAAGTTACCGGAATGTATAGATGTGTGAGTAAAAATTATTTTGACCTTGGTCCACCTTTTGTAAATAAAAGAAAATAATATGGACAACTGATGCAAGAACCATCAAGTACATTGAAATAACAGATCTACAGTCAGCTTTACAGTTTTTACAGCATAACAAACTCAAACATAGGAAAATATCTGAGCTAATAACAAATGACCAAGCACTATAGGGGGACTAAATATTTGACAAAAAACTGGGCACTACTCGGGGTCTCAAACCTGCGGGCCGTGGAAGGCAAGCAGGTATTTTTGTGGCCCCCTAGTGGACATCCAAGCTTAATGTCAGTGCAGCCCCAGAGATTCTAACCTGGCAAAAGCAAAAGCCAGATTGATGATTGTGTAGGACTGACAGGAGTTCCTTTTTGTGAAGTCAGAAATACCGTGAGAATTCAGCGCTTGCAGGCAAGGTTAAGAGATTCTGGACTCCCATGACATATATAGATCATTTTAAAGCTAAGTTTATGAAAAAAACAACCACACCATTCATAAGACCATAAACATTAAACCCTAAATGCAATGAGTAATAATTAGGAAAATAATAATAAGGAAAAGAGGAGTAAACATTATCCAGACTAGCAGAAAAAGACTCAACGTTTGTTTCAATCCAAGCAGCTGTACTTATTATAAAATGAATGGTCTCCCTGTTTTTAACTCGGGGAGATGACTTTACTTTTTCTACTGTTATTGTTAAAAAGAAGATGGCAGGTTATAAGTCATGGGTATTTTCTAATCAATCCAGGAGCTAAACTGCATGTGCCATGTTAAATAGCTGGAGCAGTTTTAGTGGTTTACTTCTACTGGCTCCAATGTTCATTTATTTTGCAAACACGTGATAACATTACCCCTTGACCATGCTTGACCTCAGGCGGCCCTCAGCTAAATTGATTTTGAGACCCGTGGATTATATGACCAAATGTGGAATCTAGTGATTGAATCAAACCGTTTGGACGAGTTAGAATATTACATTACATTCAAAACTAGGTGACACACAAATCATGAATATTTTGCCTTTTTGTATTTAAAGTATAATTGATGGCAAAGTAAGGCTTTCAATACACATTCAAATTTCACGTTACTTATTTATTTAATTACAAACATACGAAACACTTCCCTGCTGTGATTATACATTTGAAAACAGAATTCAAATCACGTTTCCACCGCATCACACAGCTCGCATTTAAGGCGTCTCTGAAAACACGTTTGTGCATCGGCCGTCATTTTTGTTCCCCTTTAAGAGTGGTCTGAAGCAGCACAGGCGTTCTATATTTTACATCTATCCATGGACTTCTCTGCAAAGGCATTTTTTTTAATTGTCTCAATAAGGAGGAATGTTAAGAAAAAGATGAGGTGTAGATTTGCAGGATACAGGTATATTTCAACGTAAGAAGTGAAAGATAAAAACATTTCTATAATATTTACAAATTTAAATGACTAATTTTCTAATGTTTTTTTTATCTAGACTGAACAATTATTTTAAAGCCTTTAGTAACACTTTCAATAGGACAAATCCAGACAATGGCTTAAAATATTTCCCTGACTGATCATGGTTAAGCAGTATCAGACATCAATAGATTAATAAGCGATAAAATATCAAAACAATTGTCAAAATGCTGAGGCTACTCTAATTAATGTAGTTTTAGATACTCCAACTTAAAAATCGCTCGGTACCGATAGTCATATTTTTTGCCTTATAGCTTCTCCATTCTAGGATTCTAAAAATGTACATTTTGTTGTGAAATTTTGAAGGAAAAAAACAAATTGTCCCAAATATCAGCTTATAAAATGACAGTACTTGATTATGGTTAGACGGAAACGCCTTTATCCAATATTATTTGCTTTAATATATTGGAATAATTATGCTAAGCTACAGAAGGATTCCAAACATTATAATTTATTGACAAAAGTGTATAAGGAGTGAATCTGCTCAAACCATTTCCTATTCAGCAGATAAATCGGTCTTCTCTCATATTCGTATATTGGGAGTCCCAGAGTCTGAATTAGATCCAGTGGTTTTGTGGTGTCACTGTTCGTTCTGTTGTGTGTCTGTGATGGTGGACACCGCTCCTTGGCCTTTGCTGACGTCGCTGATACAGGCCCACTGACCGTCCATCGACTCCTTCCACAGCGTCACCTTCAGAAAACAAAGAAAGAAATTAGCTTCAAATATTACATCTCCGATTCAAAGCTGATGTCCAAAGCAGTCAATTAATCTCAGAGTTGACACTGAAATGTCTGTGTTGCTAATATTAAGAAAACACATGCACAATGACACTGACATCAAAACCTGGACCTGGACAAGACTAGAGGAGGTTTAGACCAATATGCACTAAATAAAGCTGGGGTACCTAACTTTTTTGTTTCATACAGAACACATTTTGTTTTTCCCAGCAGTTTTAAAAAGCATGATATCTTTTGCATACAAAAGCTGAAGATGTGACAGTGGCCAAGAATACATGTATGTGGTTTGCGCAGGTTTGATATCCCAGCTTTAATTCACCATATTTGAGATTGTTAAATGATATATTTGTGATCAGCTATACCTTATTATCTCCTCCGGACACAGCCAGGATGTTCCCGGTGATGGACCAGCTCACGTGCCACACCACATCATTGAACTTGTGCAGCAGTTTGGCAGACCATGTGTTTCCAGCCGGGTCATCACACGTCCAGATAAAGACACGCCCATCCTGGGAAAAAAAAAGAAAAATGTTGGAAAGGTTATAAAACCATGTTATTTAATTTGATAGTCAATAGATTATTTAAATTATTTAAAAATTAAACCACAAAGCCATACTTTAAAAAATCTTCTAGAACTTTTACATTTTGTTTAGACTACAGCAGTAATGTAAAGCAAATACAGAAATTCATTTACAGATTTACTTTATATTAGTGTACCATTTATTCACCTTTTATTTTTCATTATCTAATAGTACCTGAGAGCAGCTGGCGATGGTGCTGGTGGGCAGTCCAATAGAAGGAGCCCAGCCGACATCTCTGACCCAATCACTGTGAGCTTCCAGCTTCTGATCCTCCTTCCACTGACCATCCTCTTCCCTGAATGTTCACATGAATATCATACTCCACCTCTGCATTGAGCACTGAGCACTTAATGAGTACTTACTTCCAGAGTTTGACAAGGTTGTCACAGCCCCCGGAAACAAAGCGTTTCACATAGTTTGGCTTCTGTCCCGTGGGTTGGTCAATGAGGCTGCCAGGGACAACAGCAGGGGCCCAGCTTACTGCATTGCAACCAATCTGGAAGGAAAATAAATAAATACAAAAAAATAGCAATATTCCCTTGGACCCAAATCAATACGCCTAATTACACAATTATTACAAAATTAATATTTACATGAATAAACTCATAAAACAAATCAACAGCTAGGAATAATAACTTGCTGAAATCATTCAACACTAAAAAAATTAGAAGGCTTATTAGAACGTGTTTTTCTAAGACTGACTTATTGGTTACAGATAAATGTAAATAACGTCCTACTGTGTGTGCGTTGGGGATCTTCTTAATGTCCCACTGCTGATCACCAGTTAACGTTAGAAGGGATATGGCTCCATCAGAACTTCCACAGGCCAAGATTAAACCAAATTCATATGGACCCCAGCACACTGAGTTTACTACAGAAACAAAAAGGACACAAAAACATTTCCACTGGTATTCAGTTATAATTTAACTTTTACTTTAAAATGAACAAACAGTGCCACCAACCTGATGACTCATGTCCGGTGTACTCATACATCTTGTCCCATGTGCCGCCATTCTCTTTCCAAATAATAACTTTGCGATCATAGGAACAAGACGCTAAGACATTACCAAACATTGGATGTGCCCATGCTACCTGCCACACTGGACCCTCATGGCTGCATGTTAAAAAAGATTCAAGATTTCAATGTTATACTATATTCAACACCGCAATATGATTTGTGCCCTTTACCCTCTGAGATCTGCCACCAAGATCTGTCCTCCGTTTCGGACGTCGAAGACCTTTACAGTTCGGTCCGAGGAACATGTGGCCAGCCGGGTCCCGTAGTAGTCCATTTGGGCATCATGCTAAAACAACCAAGAGTTATTCCAAACTGGAGATTGATAAATGACATTTATGCAGAAATGTGTACATTGAACTAACTGAATATTTTATGAATGATAGTAGTGATAGTTTTTTTATTTGGTCACACAAATTATTTTTTTGACATAAAAAAGGCATTCAAAAAAAGGACAAGGTTACAAAAACAATGTAGCTTATGTCAGTAGTGTACATGCTTTAACATAGATTTACAAACGAAATTTTGACCGAAGGGATTAGGCTTAAGTATAACTTATTTTTGCCTAATCAATTAATATAAAGATAGCCAATATACTTGATAGGAAATCACTTAGGTTTGGAATAGTTACATATAATACCTAGTCATTGTTTTCTACTTTGTTGAACTTGAGTCTTATTTAACGATTATGGTAACTGATCATGAAAATAGTTGCTAAAACAGCGATTTGTAGTAATAAATCAAATACTCGTACAGCTGACAATAAAGTTGAGTCAAAGATATCCAAATCAAATACAAAATATGTACTTAAAGATGAATAAAACGTATGCATAAATTAAAAGTAATATCAAACTTACGATCATATCCTCGTGGGACGTGTCCACTGTGTTAATTACAGAAACCTAAGAGTAAACATAAGAACACACATGAAGAAGTAACATTTCATTCAAATATATAACAAAACAGTCGCTAGTTAACAATAATTCTGAACACAGTATTCTGGTTGCTAATGCTAACAGATTGAGGTACTAATAACGTCAACATCCGTGCATAAAAAAGCGACCAAAGCGGTCTTCTACTCCTCATAAAAGTGTTCATCAAAATGGTTACCATGGCTGAAACAAATGGACGTAGAGGGATTAATTCTACAGTAACGTATGAATTGTTGAATTGAATTTTAGAGCAAACCGACGTGGCATCAAGAGAAGAAGCGACCCGGTGCGCCGCGCCGTGGCTTCCGTGAGGAAACAAGGACGACGAAGAGTAGGTTCCGCAACATGTCCACGGCGGAAAAAATCATGATATGAACCTTTTTCTGTGCATATTTGTTTGAAGACCAACACATTAGAAAATTGTCTTTGATTGAAAACATTGTTCCGACCGCAGATTTGGTGGCACATTACTTTTGTTCCAAATAATTTACTTGGACACAAAGCTGAAAAATGAAATAAAATTAACAAAACACTTTTTTCCCGAGCTGACCAGTTGCTGATAGAAATGCATTTGTAGATACATGTTGATATTGTAAACGTACAACACATGGTGAAACAAGGGCAGATATTGTTGCTTGTTTTTATATCTATGTTAATACATTTGCAAGTTTAAGTATATAAAGTAAGCACAGAAGGCAACATATGCAGAAGGCCATGCATAAACAGGAGTGTAAATATTGTAAACACTTGAATGTAAAGTTTCTGCTCAAATTAATAGAATATCAATCAAACAATCTACTACTGCCCAGTCTTAAATTCGGTTATAGTCATTTGTTTGATCAGAGCCCTCGAACACAAATTTGTAATAGAAATAAGGCACGCTTTACATACTAGTAGTGTGTACATTTTACCACAAGATGACGACATTGCTCTGATTATTCCCCGGTTTTTCCCAACTATTTATAACCCATCTGAGCCCACCAAAGTGTCAAGTTCTCCGTAACTGGGCTGTTGCATGTGCCGTCGTACCTCGCCATGTTCTTATCTTAAATTGTCTTTCTTTTCATACAGGGGGGTCTCAGAGGCCAAAACAACAACAACAACACGATGTCAAATATCTCCTTCCACATCTCCAACTTACTGGAGAAAATGACTTCCACTGATAAAGATTTCAGGTAAGACATGTTTTATGCCTGACCCAACGCTGCTGACATGAGTTGACAGGTTTTTTTAGACAACTGCAGAGGGCATGCACAACATTATCCAGTGAATGATTGTGTGGTGGCTGGAGACGTGCTAGTTAACATTTAGTTATTTAGCATAACACAATTTTACATATCATTATACTAACTCACAGACTGCACAAACATTTTAACATTAAACATGTTTGTACACTCTATCTATACCAAATGTGTCATGTACATTTCTCCATTGTGAGATCTATAAAGTTTATTGTATCTTATCTCATCTTTTAAGTTCCACTCAAAACAGAATTTAAGTTTTGATAACTGTATTTCCCCTGTTTTTTATTATTCTCATGGTTGAGTACTGTATGTATCCTGAATGCCTTCAGATTCATGGCCACCAATGACTTGATGCTCGAGCTGCAGAAGGACAGTATCAAACTGGATGAGGACAGTGAGAGGAAGGTGGTGACGATGCTACTGAGGCTTCTCGAAGACAAGAATGGAGAGGTGCAGAACCTTGCTGTGAAATGGTAAACATGTACAAATATATGCACTAATAATTGATTTTAGTACATTGTTAAACTGTAAACTGAGCATTGTAGCTCAGTTGGTAGAGCATTGGCCTTAAGGCCTGAAGGTCGTGGGTTCATTTCCCACCTTGACACCTTCTCCACCGACCCCCAGTGATGTCTGCTGTCGTTGTGTCCTTGGGCGAGACGCTTAACCCCACTTTGCCTGAAGCCCCCACTGAAATATCTCAGCTCCTGTGGACTCACCACCTGCAGGAGGATCAGTGAGAGGCTGGTGCTCTGTGTACTGGGAGCAGCTCTGACTGCCACCCCCCGACCCAGAAATGGAGTAAGGGAAAGAAAATGGATGGATGGATGGACATTGTTAAATTTGTTTATGTCTTATAATTTATATTTACATTTTGTCTGTTTGTAACTAAACGACTTGGCTCAGTACATTCTGGTAATACATTTCTCCACTTTCTTCCACTTGCCGGATCGGAGGGGTCTAGACACCCAGACTTCCAATGCTTTTTCAAAAAAACTTGACTGTTATTTATCAGGGCCACACGCGCTGCCTGGGATCTCACGCGCTCTCTGTTAACTGATGTATTTAAACACAATTGACAGTTGTGTCTGCAATATTAAAGAAAAGTTTACACACTTACAGTATTATAAGTGCTACATAAATAAACAACATTTTAAAATGTACCTTTGCTGTGTGTACCTCCAGCCTGGCTCCTCTGGTGGGTAAGGTGAAGGAGCCGCAGGTGGAGACCATGGTGGACACACTCTGTTCAAACATGATGTCCAACAAAGAGCAGCTTCGAGACATCTCCAGCATGGGCCTGAAGACCGTCATCGCGGAGCTTCCTCTGTCTACAACAGGTATAGCACTTTTATTATGTAACTATTATGAAATAAACTCCTTCTGCCTCAAAGCAGACAAATGTATAACATTTATTTATGATCTTTTACATTTTATTCTTTTTCTAAACATCATTTCTGGCTGAACCCTAAACACAATTTCTCTGGCCTGACTGCAGCCAAACTTTAGCCTCGCCTACATACAGTTTCAGCTGGCAATTTACATTCTGACCAGAATCGTTAAGATGACGTAGTTAGGCTACTATTTCTCATCTATAGCAGGATAAAGAATTGTTTCCATTTTCTGAAATAGAGTTGTAGTTTTCAATGAAACCTCATTGTTATATGTGTTTCAAACTCCGTAGTTTAATGGTTGCCATCTATTAATTTGTCATGGTTTGTTTTGGTAAAAAAATATATCTTTAGGTGTGAATCTGACCACTTGTGTGTGCAAGAAGATCACTTCTCTGTTGATTGGTGCCATGGGAAAGCAAGAAGATGTGTCCGTTCAGTTGGAGGCTCTGGATATCCTTTCGGACATGTTAGGAAGGTGGTTAAAAAAATAATGCCTTTTTTGTTGTTTTTGATACACTTATCAAATAAATGACATGTAATTCTTTTTCTGAAATCAGATTAAGCGGGGTATTGGTTAGTTTCCATGCATCTTTGCTGACTAGCCTATTACCTCAGGTAAAAATATACGTTACATGTTTTTTTGAACTTTAATGTTAAATCTATAATCAATAATGCGTATGGGTATTGAATGTGATAACTTCTGCGTACACTTTCTCCTGTCCACACAGTTAACCAGCCCCAGAATGGCGGTGAGGAAGCGTTCCATCTTGGCTCTGGGTCACTTGGTTCCCTGCTGCAGCCCCGCACTCTTCTCACAGCTCACCACACATCTAATGACAGAACTGGCCAAGGCTCCACCCACCTCCATGTCCCGAACCTACATCCAGTGTCTCGCTACAGTTAGCCGCCAGGGAGGACATCGAGTTGGTAGGAAACCGATGTTGTTGTCTAAACTATAGAAAATGTATCATAACAGGCTAGAGTAAACAATTAGACAAAACTCAAACCTAAGTTGGAAATGGGATGTCCTATTACACGAAAATAATAAAGTTTAGGAAGTTAACATTGACTGCCAGCCCATTTCAAAACAGGTACTCCCATATTGCCAGCCGTTTCTGGTGGTTTTTACTGATTTTTCAAGACCCACAGAATATTGTGTACTTTGACTATCTGAAATCTAAAACTAGATTCTGAAAGAATGGGCTGTCTACTCTCACCAGCAAAAAGAATTTTGTTTCTATCTTGTTTAGTTCTTCTGTAATCCCCAGTTGAGTGGAGGGAAGTTTTATTGAAATCACCAGAAAGCTGAGAAAAAAGGGCCACAAACAGTGCATCTAGCTGTGTTCAAACCATTCATAGCGCAATGCTGCCATCTGCTGGCTCCATAAAGTATTGCCTCAAGCCAATCTCCACATATTAGAGTCAATGGACAGCTGGGAACGTAAAAATAGCGGGAAACGCAATTGACGTGTTAACACGTCATTGGCAGACAACGTTACTATTTAGTTTGACGTGTTAACACGTCAATGGCAGTCAATGAGTTAAACAGTTGTAATACAAGATGAACTCCATGGTCTAGTCCAGGAATTGCCATATTGCTGTTAAAGGTTAGCTTCCTTTGCATTCTAACCAGGAGAGCTCAAATACAGATGAATGCTATAAAATGATTAAATGTCACATGAATCTTGTTTATTTTGCACAGGTGAACATTTAGAAAAGCTAATCCCAATGGTAGTCAAGCTGACCAGTGTGGAAGATGACGAGCTCAGAGAATACTGTTTCCAGGCATTTGAAGCTTTCATGAGGAGGTCTGTCACATTCATCACATCAGTTGCACAGGCGTTATTATTATTATTACTTTATTTTCAGGTGTCCAAAAGAGATGTCGCCACACATTTCCACAGTGACTGAGCTGTGTCTTAAGTTCATGACTTATGATCCCAACTACAACTACCATGACGAGGAGGAGGACAGTATGGATGTGGACGAGGACTTTGGCGAAGGTGAATTTTACACATCAGACAACTCGGCAATCAGATTAAAGTGGCCAGTAAGGTGTCAAGGAGAACTCAGCCTAGAGACCTGAATCTATAATATAATATAATATCTTTATAGGTTAATACTAGTTTATAGCTGTCCCACCAATGGGCCAATGGGCATAGGGGGCGCCCGTGGTACTGGAGACTAAATTCATCAGGGCTACGTATACAACAATGTCCCATACTCATTTTGAACTAGAACAGACGTCATCTGACCTCAGCTTTCATAAAAGTTGAGTGTCCTTTGTCATCCTGAAAGTTTTTTCTTGTTAAATCCTTCAATTTTCTATAAATCTACACTTTAATGCAACAAACTTTATGGCTCCCGCACTAGCTCTGCTCTACTTCCTCTCTGATCACCAGGGTTAGGGTTGGTCAAAATGTAGCTGAGCCCCTGCACGTGCCTGAGAGCCACACATGCGTATTTGGTGCAAAGCATCATGGGAGCTCGTCCACTGCGTAGAACCGGGAAGACCAGACGGTCCCCAAATTTGGGCGAGTTCCGCTAATCTTTCAGTCCCCATGGCTGTCCCATGCGCTACTGAGCACAAGCCATTGATTTGAATAGGACATCTCTTGGGTGCAGGAAAAAAAGGTTGGGAACTACACCATCCCAAAAACTTTATACAAACTATTGCACTCTACATAATGTTTTCACTGAAACTAGCTTTGTGACATCCTCTCTTGTTCTTGTTATCTTCAATGTTGTGATTTTACTGTGTCTGCCTATTTTAGATGATTGTTTGCTGCAAAACCAATTTCCTTCAATGGAACAATACAACGTTAGGGTTGATTTTCTTTAGAATGTGTCTTTCGCCTCTAGAGTCAGACGAAGAGTACAGTGACGACGACGACATGAGCTGGAAAGTGCGGCGTTCCTCAGTGAAGTGTTTGGAGGCTCTGGTCCACACCAGGAGAGACCTGCTTCTGTCTTTTTATTCGTCCCTCTGCCCCGCCCTGCTCGCTCGCTTCAAGGAGAGAGACGAGAACGTTCGGGCCGATGTCTTCTCTGCCTTCTCCACTCTGCTCAAGCAAACTCGAGCGAGCAGCAGTCAAGTTGGACTGATGGAGCAGAGGGGCAGCAGGGAGGAGGAGCCTACAGTTGCTTTGTTGAAGAAACAGGTAAATATGTAAATAAATTATAAACCGTTCAAAAAGGTCCACTCTTTTGAGATTTTGATTTTGGATACGTCTGCAACATTTTTATGGGTGTTAGATTCATACACATTTTAAAACTGACCTAAACAGTAAAGATTAATTACAAAATTAGAAAATAGGAAAATGTAGAAGCTTGAATGACTTACAAAATATGAATCCATCTAAAATCAGCCTTTTAAATGGAGTCACAGCATTCTGCATCTACATTTGAATAATTTTCTGGAATTTTAAGATTCTTAAAAAAACAACTGGATCAGAATGTGAAATGACATAATGCTCAGATTGTATCACCATGGCGACAGATGTACATCATAAGGTTCTAGAATCGTATGACACGTTTATCAGATTGCCTCCCAAAGTTCCCTAGACCAGAGGACTTGAATCCAAAGTATTTGATCAAGGTCATATGTAACACGGGTTCTTAAAAGGACTTTAAATGGACTGTAAATTGGAGTCAATTACCATGGACCATCCACTACTGGAGAAACTGCCGCCCCAGCTGGGAAACTATGTGCTGCAGGAGATCCTTGGATATGGAACCTTTGGAATTGTTGTTCGATGCTTGAACACCAGGACTGGAGAAATTGTGGCACTCAAAATATTTGAAAACAACAGTGAGGATATGGAGAGAGAACTTGATATCCTCCAGCATCTGAGCAACAGCATAGATCCAGACAAAGTGAACATCATCAAATGCTTTGAGCATTTCCGACATGAGGATTATGAGTGCATTGCCTATGAAGTTCTGGACCGCAGTTTATATGACTTCATCAGGGAGCGTCAAAGGCCTTTTGCACTGAGCGAGTTGAGACCCATAGCTCAACAGCGCCTTGTGGCCTTTGAGGCGCTGACGGAGGCACACGTGGTACATGCTGACATGAAACTAGACAATATAATGTTAGTTAACCACAAAGATCAGCCTTATAAAGTGAAGCTGATCGACTTTGGCTGCGGAGGCTTCTTCTCCGAGCTGGAACAGGGCATACTCATTATGACAGATGGGTACCGTGCTCCGGAGGTGACCCTAGGTGCTCCACTGTCTGGGGCATTGGATATGTGGACCCTGGGCTGCAGCTTAGTAGAGGGCTTCTTGCACTGCCAACCTTTCTCCAACATGTCTGACTATGACAACCTAAGGACCATCATTCGCTTGGTAGAACAACCCAGCAATGAGATGCTCAACAGAAGCTTGTATGCTGAAAAGTGCTTTCTTGAAAGTAGATCCCAGTGGTCTTTGAAGACACCCTTTGAGTACCAGGCCTCAAACTGGAAAAAGCCTGATATTGGTGTGAGTCCTTTGGATGACGCTCCAAATATTGAGGCTGCGATTATGTACGGCCATGAAAATATGGACGAGGATGTGCAGTCGGACCTGACGGCCTTTATGGATTTACTTAAAAATCTGCTGCAGACGGATCCAGAGAAGAGGATAACTCCCAGTGAAGCACTGAGGCATCCGTTTATTACTATGGAACATTTAGTGAATGTTGATACTGAATATGTCACTATTGCCCGTAAATTGATGTCGGTGACTCTCAACACCTCAGCTTCTGCTCTGACAGAAAACAAAGAAAATGTAAATGCAGATCAGCCTCCACAGCTCTCTGCTGCTGTAGCAGAGAGATCTGGCCCATCTTTTGGAAATCACATCGAGATATCTCCTGAAGAGAAGGTGAACGAGGCTCCCCCGGAGCTAAAGGACTGCATTGGTATTGAAGAAAAAGTTATTCTCCCAAAAGACGTGGTTATCTGCCCTGAACACCATGAGGAGCAGCTCAACTCATGTTCCATTGAGGGCGACCAAAAAACCCAGATTGACAAAGAGCCAGAACATGTTCTCGAACATGTCGAGATTGAAATAGCAGACTATTCTGAAGATGACACTAATGAGCCATCGAACAGCACCTCCTGTTGGTCAGCTGTGAGAACTCTCTGCTTTGGAGGTGCTCTTACACTACAGGCTGCCACTTGTTTTGCGCTGACACACTCTCCCTTGATCACTGGCGCTGTGGTACTACCCATGATGATTTATGGAGGAATAGAATATCTCACATCTAAAAGGACTGCAGTAGAAACCTCCACCTCAAGCACCAACAAATAACTCTCAATCTAAAACATCGTTGACAGAACGCCCATGAGCTTTCAGGGCACATTTAACTTGGTTAAAGTCTGGATGCTTCACATTAGTTTAAAAAGGATGAAGCTGATTTAAGTGTTTCAGAAGAATCCTCCTGAAACGTGTGAAGCGACGGATGACACTGTGCCTCAAACCTTTCTTTCTTTATTGAGGATTTATTTATTGGTTTTTTGGCCTAAGACTTTTCTTGAGTAAGTTTTACTTTATTTGAGGATGTCAAGGCTACTTTTGGGTTAGTTTGAACGGTTTTATTTGTTTGAAGTTTACATTTAGAGTTTTTTATTGTTTGAAGTTTACATTTAGAGTTTTTTATTGTTTGAAGTTTACATTTAGAGTTTATTATTGTTTGAAGTTTACGTTTAGAGTTTATCTTTGTTTGAAGTTTACTTTTAGACTTAATCTTTGTTTGCAGTTTAGATTTCAACTTTTATTGAGGATAACTTTTGCATCGCTTGTTCCAGCATGCATAATTTAGGAATCGGGGGAAACTAGAGGATCCAGAGGGAACCTACATAGATGCAGAGAGAATAAGCAATAACCTGTTTGGGCTGGCGAACTGGGGACCTTCTTGCTGTGAAACAAGTGCTAACAGTTGTGCCATCATAACCTGACCTGCCATAACCGCATGATTTTACATAGACGCAATGTACAGGTGCTTCACTGCAGACAGTGACCAGACTAGTGCTGTGAGTCAGACAGTGAACACTGTTTGTGAAAATAAAAGATTAAACATTCAATGTTTGTTGGTCCTATTTACACTGTTCATCATTTCACTTCTTCCTACATTTATGACTGAAAAAAACACAATCAAAGACAGATATTATTTTATGATCTTCTTGAATCAAATTCATTATTAAGAGGGTTTATAAATGTTTGTGGTATTTCTTTCCATACCGAGTTGTCACATTTTGGAAATGTTTTTACTGCTGGTACTGCTGGGTCAGATCCTTTATCCATCTAATATGTACAGTATATAATCTTATATTATATAGAACGTGAAATGCCAATGTTAATGTTCTCAACTTCAGGTCTAAGGAACAAAATTAATACAAAGAATGCATCACATTTGTACTTCAAATTAGATAAATTAGACATATGTTCAAAATAGATATTTAAATCCAACCTTGTTCTTATTTGACATCTTTGAGATTTACAGTATCTTGCAGCCCTACAGTGTGCTGTGTGTCAGGTGCCGGTGATCGTGAAGGCTCTGCACAAACAGCTGAAAGACAAGAGTGTGAAATCTCGACAGGGCTGTTTCTGTGTCCTCACCCAACTGGCCCAGACTGTCCCAGGGGCACTGGAGGAGCACATCCCCACACTCATACCTGGTAACGTCCAAAGGCTTTGGTGCATGCTATCAAATGTTACTGTTTTTTTAATTTTTTCAAAAACAATGCTTCAGGGGAGAGAAGAGTGCAAGGCAGTACAGACTTTAACAATCTAGTGAATAAAACATCCAGGTTGCATGTGGAGGAACTGCACTGGTATAGCTTTTTATAAGATTTTCTAAATTTTTATCTATGTAAGTCTTGTCTTTAGGTGTCTGTCTGTGATTGTGTTGAGTCTGAAAACATATTATGACAGCAAACAGAAGAATAATGTGTTTAACTCTTCACTGTTGCTTATCATCTGCAGGCTTGGTCTTCTCACTGAGAGACAAATCCACCTCTTCCACCATGAGGATTGATTCCTTGTCATTTTTTCACATCCTTTTATTATCCCACCCTCCACAGGCCTTTCAACCACACTTGCAGGTTTATACACTCCCTTACATTACATTCATAAAACAAACCATATCCATAGGTGATAAAAGTACTCATACTCATGCTGTCAGTTAAACAGACTATTAACGTTGTTAACACAAACCCATTCAAATGTGTTTGCATTATTTTGGGTTGATAAGTTTGTAGCCTATATTAGCCCATCCCAATACTTTTTGGTGGGGATTCGGTTAATATATTTTTGGGGCGACAGTAGCTCAGTTGGTAGAGCATTGGCCGTTGGGCCGGAAGGGTGTGGGTTTGAGCCCATCACTCCACTGCTACTCCAACTGCTCCCACTAATGTCTGCTGTCGTTGTGTACTTGGGCAAGACACACAACCCCACAGCTCCCGCTGAAACACCAAGGCTGTGGCACCACTGATGTAGCAGCCATCTTTTCTGTGGACTCACCACCTGCAGAGGATCAGCGAGGGACCGGTGCTTTGAGCATTGGGTGGCAGATCTCATTGCAGAAATGGACTAATAAAGGAGTTGAAAATGAATTAACTCTTAAACACCATTTAAACATATGTCTCACATACAGTATACAGTGACAATATATCAAGTAACCAGAACCTTCTTAATCTGACAACAGAAATCATATCTTGAATGTTTTTGTTTTTCGTTGTAGGTGTTGCTTCCTCCGGTGGTAGCTTGTGTAGAAGATTCCTTTTATAAGATTACTTCAGAGGCACTCCTGGTCACACAACAGCTGGTCAAAGTTATGAGGCCACTGGACCAGACATCGTCTGTAGCGTTTGATCCCAAACCATTTATTAATCAGGTACCAATGTCTCCTTTACTTTTGTTTGACAATATAAACCTCATCTAACAAGTGTTACTGGTTTCATCCTGTTTATTCCCATTCAAACTATACAATATTTTTGTTAATCACTAGTACAGCAATGGTCCTATTTTTTGTGTAGAGAGAAATGACTTTCATCACTATCAACTTTCAGCTTTCACATTTGAAGTTGCTTCTCAAAGCAATCTCGATGTACACAATATTCACTAACCCTGTCGATTTACAGTCCAATTTATCACATTACAGAGTTTTACGTATTAACCTTAACTTACTGATATGAATGTGATGTCGTTCTGTGAATTGAAATCAATAAACCAAATCTTCTCTTGAAGGTCTTCTCCTCAACCATGAACAGGTTAAAAGCTACAGATATTGACCAAGAAGTCAAAGAGCGGGCTATTTCCTGTATGGGTCAAATAGTCTGTCACCTGGGTGACCACCTGGGGGCGGAGCTTAAAGCTGTTCTTAGTATTTTTCTGGAAAGGTTGAAGAATGAGATCACAAGACTGACCACTGTACGGACCATCACCCTGATCACAGCATCTCCACTCAAGGTTCTTTTTCCGAAAATAATAATTTCATATTATACTGAGATGGAGCCTGGGGTAGGACAGATTGGCTCTTGCAACATAATGACTGTTTACTTTTCAAATTCGGCCACGGACCAAAATGAGTTTGACACCCTGCCGTAGCCATCTTAAAAGTTGATATCTTTGTAATGATGCATTTACTGTTATTATTATTAGTTATAATTTTATTTTAAGTTAGATTCAATTAAGAGGACAAAAATAGAAAATAAATACCATTATTGGAGATATTTACAGGGATTGGTCATCTAAACTGTTTTTTAAACACTGTACTTTTCAGATTGACTTATCACCTGTCTGGCCTGAGGCCTTGTCCATCCTGGGATCTTTTCTGCGTAAAAAACAGAGGACACTGAAGTTGGGGACATTGACGTGTCTAACAGCTTTATTCACACATCAAGCTTCCAACATGAAACCTGCTCTTCTGGAGTCTGTGCTGAGCGAAATACCCCCTGTAGTGGACGAAAGCGACATGCACGTGTCCCAGGTACTCACCAGCATGAACAATGACTACCAATTATTTAATCGGAATTATAATTTATTTAATGAATCCAAAAAATGCAGATCTTGCTAACTTCTCTATTGATATAGGCAAGGCTAATTTATGAACATACATAATTTATACAGGTGTATATGATATTCAACATTCATTTGAGCTTCAGACTGTGAAGTGTCTCCAGTTAGCTTATGGAATTTTGATGATACAAAACCGCTTTTGTAAATGTCACAATGGAAAAATGCATTTTTCACTATAACCATGTTTAAGTTTGGTGGTATAATTGTACATCAATGCTAAAGATGCATTCAAATTGTTCTTGTCTCTATTTTATGAATTAATTGATGAATTGTCTGTTCAGCTGTCCATTAACCTACTGACCTGTGTGGCCAAAGCTTGCCCCTCCTCTCTGGCAAAGATCAGCTCGTCTGTGCTCGCTGGAGTCTTTAAGCTGGTTCACTCTCCACTGCTTCAAGGAGGAGCACTGGTGGCCATTTTGGATTTCCTCCAAGCTCTGGTGCTTTCCAAAGCAAGTCATCTTGGATACGGGTAAAGGTTTTTGTATGTACAAATATTGACTAAAAATACTTTACAAACTACTACTACAAGTTTTATCCTTAAAGGCTTGTGGAACTTGTGATATAATTGACATGAATACAGTGCCTTGCGAAAGTATTCGGCCCCCTTGACGCTTTGAACATTTCGCCACATTTCAGGCTTCAAACATAAAGATATAAAATTTTAATTTTTTGTCATGAATCAACAACAAGTGGGACACAATCGTGAAGTGGAACGAAATGTATTGGATAATTTAAACTTTTTAAACAAATAAAAAACTGAAAAGTGGGGCGTGCAATATTATTCGGCCCCTTTACTTTCAGTGCAGCAAACTCAGTCCAGAAGTTCAGTGAGGATCTTTGAATGATCCAATGTTGTCCTAAATGACTGATGGTGATAAATAGAATGCACCTGTGTGTAATCAAGTCTCCGTATAAATGCACCTTCTCTTTGATAGTCTCAGGGTTCTGTTTAAAGCGCAGAGAGAACCATGAAGACAAAGGAACACACCAGGCAGGTCCGAGATACTGTTGTGGAGAAGTTTAAAGCCGGATTTGGATACAAAAAGATTTCCCAAGCTTTAAACATCTCAAGGAGCACTGTGCAAGCAATTATATTGAAATGGAAGGAGTATCAGACCACTGCAAATCTACCAAGACCCGGCCGTCCCTCCAAACTTTCATCTCAAACAAGGAGAAGACTGATCAGAGATGCAGCCAAGAGGCCCATGATCACTCTGGATGAACTGCAGATAACTACAGCTGAGGTGGGGATGATGTGTTCAGGGTGATGAGCTGTGTTGCTTTTACAACATATCGTTTTGCAGTGTGGCCAAAAAGTTCGATTTTGGTTTCATCTGACCAGAGCACCTTCTTCCACATGTTTGGTGTGTCTCCCAGGTGGCTTGTGGCAAACTTTAAACAAGACTTTTTATGGATATCTTTGAGAAATGGATTTCTTCTTGCCACTCTTCCATAAAGGCCAGATTTGTGCAGTGCACGACTGATTGTTGTCCTATGGACAGACTCTCCCACCTCAGCTGTAGTTATCTGCAGTTCATCCAGAGTGATCATGGGCCTCTTGGCTGCATCTCTGATCAGTCTTCTCCTTGTTTGAGATGAAAGTTTGGAGGGACGGCCGGGTCTTGGTAGATTTGCAGTGGTCTGATACTCCTTCCATTTCAATATAATTGCTTCCACAGTGCTCCTTGAGATGTTTAAAGCTTGGGAAATCTTTTTGTATCCAAATCCGGCTTTAAACTTCTCCACAACAGTATCTCGGACCTGCCTGGTGTGTTCCTTTGTCTTCATGGTTCTCTCTGCGCTTTAAACAGAACCCTGAGACTATCAAAGAGCAGGTGCATTTATACGGAGACTTGATCAGTCATTTAGGACAACATTGGATCATTCAAAGATCCTCACTGAACTTCTGGAGTGAGTTTGCTGCACTGAAAGTAAAGGGGCCGAATAATATTGCACGCCCCACTTTTCAGTTTTTTATTTGTTAAAAAAGTTTAAATTATCCAATAAATTTCGTTCCACTTCACGATTGTGTCCCACTTGTTGTTGATTCATGACAAAAAATTAACATTTTATATCTTTATGTTTGAAGCCTGAAATGTGGCGAAATTTTGAAAGGTTCAAGGGGGCCGAATACTTTCGCAAAACACTGTACATATGTAAGATGTGTAACTCCTCTCTTTCTTCTGGGCAGTCAGCTGCTGAAGGCCCTGATGGAGCCTTTCAACAGCCCTGAGTGTCTGGCAGACATCCACAGACAGTCATATCACTCTGTCGCTCGCTGTGTCGCTACACTCTGTGCTGTCTGTCCCAAAGAAACTCCAGGGACAATCTCCAGTCTCAAACAGCAGGTGGAATTTCAACTTTCTTGGTTGTAATAATGATCTATTTAACATTGTCAGAGGGTCTGAAAATGAATGTGGGTCTGGGTCATAGATTTGAAATGAAATTTAAATGATTGGGTGGATATAATATTGATTAAGCAGATATAAATTATAAAAAAAATTGAACAAAATAATTATTTATGGGTTCTTTTACAACTCGATGGAAAAGATGGATCCCAGTCAAGATTATACTCCATTTTAGGCTTGTGGTTTCTGACGTTGTAGAAAGTAATATTTCAGAACTACTGGTACCTCTCCCAATATTGTGGAGTCAATAGATTATTAAACACCTGAACTAAATGATTATATGTATTATTATATTTTAAAATGTAGTTGTGAATTTGGAAGGAAAGAGTAATCAAATAGAGATTATTAGATAACTAAGACTGAAGAGATGGTCTGGCTGATGAGGCAGTGATGGGGAGGAGGAGAGTTGCTGCATGATCTGAAAGCTCAATGTCAATATAGGGCATTTAAATGTGGCCAGGTGAATGTGATTGACTGATTTCTCTTACAGTAACAGAGGGAGGTTGAGGGATCAGTGAGCATGTGGAGGTCTTCCTGTCTGAACTTTCTCTTTACCTGCATATATATTTCAGGTGAATAGCCAAAGTTGCCCAGAGTCGGCTCGGGTCCTGGCCTTGTTGTGTTTGGGGGAGGTGGGAAGAAGCAGCAGCCTAGGGGGCTGTAAGGAGGCGCAAGCAGTCATCCTAGAGGCCTTTTCTTCCTCCAGTGAAGAGGTATGATTTTTTCTCTTGACTAATGCACAACATTTGGTTCACTAATACAAGCTCAAGACTAAGCTAAAGTGAAATAAGGCTAATGTGAGGCTAAAATATCAATGAGTGGATAGTTGAGCCAAGGCCTGCATGTAGCAGCATTTAAAGCCTTTGTCAGTGTTCTTAGCTTGAATTGTAAAGTTTAAAAAGCCAACAGCTATGTATAGCAGATTGGATCACACAACCAGAATGTGGACGGTCCTTGTTGGGTGATAATGTTGTTGGATGAAATCTAGCAAAACTCGATCATGGCAGATATACTGTATAATGGTCCAGCATATGATTTATTACAAAGATTGATATATTTTTTTTTTCACACACTATCCTCCAATTGCAACTACTAACACTATTTCATTTCTTGAGTTGCATATGTGGATACTTATTTTCCAGATAAAGACGGCAGCATCACGTGCTCTCGGCAGCATGGCGGTGGGAAGTTTGGAAGACTACCTCCCCTTCATCTTAAAAGAGATCGCCTCGCAGCCAAAGAGACAGTACCTGCTGCTTCACTCACTCAAAGAGGTCATCAGGTCTGTGAACTAGTATCATTCTGGATTCTTTTGCCAAAATCAAAGCCTGTAATTGAGAGATATTTGGAGATATATATTTTTCATTTTATTTGATCTAAATTGAAGGTTGTTAGATTGATTCCCTCAACGTTCAATGCCCTCATTTTTTCATAAGGTGCTAAATCCACAATGACCATCAATGAGCTTGCAACAATTACAAATGGAGGGCTCATGTACATTTTTTATGCAGTATGTGTCACGTGAGAATTGAAGAACTAGGGAACCCAAAATGCAGGACTGAAAATCAAATGTAATTTAATAAAAATCCAGAGAGAAAAAAAGGTCAAAAATCCAGAACTGAAAAACTAGACAAGACAAACTTGGTTGAGACAACGGACGGACAACAAGTGGGGAAAAGCACAGGGTATATATACACACACAGGAGACACAGGTGGATCACATTAGGGCGGGGCTAACAATCAACAGGACACACTGGAATCAGGAAAATTCAAAATACAAGAGAACTAATAAAGTAAATAAAACCAGGTTAAAATAATTCAAAAAGTCCACACCATGACAGTATGAGACAAATGATCATGCTGTTTGGGATAACTATAGAATAGAACCAATTTCAATGAAAATGACAACTTTGTTAACCATGTCAGCATTTATAAACCATCCAAGCCTCTCCAGCTCTTATGCAGTGAAATGATTCTCTTGCTGTGACTGAATGCTAACACTTGTGTGCAGTGCATGCCCAGCCTCCAGCCTCTCCCCGCACTTGGAGTCCATCTGGGCTCTGTTGATTCAGAACGCTCTGTGTGCAGAGGAGGGCACCAGGAACCTTGTGGCCGAGTGTTTGGGAAAACTCACTTTAGTCAATCCTGATCAGCTCCTGCCCAGACTGCAACAGCAGCTCAAAGAAGGTCATAGAACAAATATTGTATTTTACATTATACAATTCTATTTTTTGCCTGTGACGTTTTTACTTTGTCATTTTTGTTTTAGAATGTTAGAAAATCTTAATTGTCACATATTTCGCTCTTCTTAATTTGTCACAGTCCATCTTTATCCTATGTTTTATAATAAAAGAAAAAAGGGATACAATAACATCAGTGTGTTATAGATGGTTTTCCATTGACGTCACGCACTACCCACAATTCCGCAGTTCACCATATTGTAAGTCTAGCCGCCGCTAGTTGTAAGTAAACAAAGCATAGCACATCACTGTTTTGCGCTAAAACATGCAGACTACCTGCGTCGTTTGGGGGTGCAGTAACCGTGCAGATTGTGGGGACATTCCGAAGGTTATTACGAGCCAGGGGAGCAACTCTCGACAGAGAAAAGAACCCTTTAGTTGGCGAGAGGGATTCAACCCTAACCCCCTGAAACACGGCACTGTCTGTTCTGTCTGTTTTGACCATTTCATAACATGTAAGAGCTAGCTAAATCTGTGCATGTGTGGTTTATATTCAGAGCTGCGATTTGACGGTGATACTATGTTTATATGGGCATCAAGCGATCCCCTATAAATGAATGCGAGGGGGAGGAGGGGGGGGGGGGGGGGGGGGGGGGAGGGTGGTAGACAGAAGTGATTTACGGCCTGTGATAGCAACTGCTTCGTTCAAAATAAATTATTGAAAGAAATATTGCATCATATACATCATGACCTTTTTTTTATTGTAAAATTGTTAAGTGAAAGTAAGCCATTTCTGGCGAAGTCCACTGGTCTCGCCGCATTTCATATGGATCCAAATCTCCGATCAATCTCAATTTCTCCAAGGATCTTGCCTCACAGATTACTCCAACATATCAATATACTTAACGCGGTCAGCATCGGCCGAATTCGTGGTTTTAGATGACATGGGGACAAATGATCCGTGACAAATTATCCATGACAAATGATCCGTGCAATATAAGCCAGACAAACAACATGGCGTTTGCGTAAAGCATTATGGGTAATAAGCACGTGATGGAAAACCATCTATAGGTTTGAGACAGTGTAAGACAGAAGTACAGTAACTTATATGTTTGTGTTAATATTAGCGTAGAAGGATAAAAAAACAACTGTGTGTTTGATGAGGGAACTATTTTTAACATGGTTTAAAGGGGAATAATTTAATTGTGTAAATTGTATACAAATACATTTAACATTATTTGTGTTCCCTTTAGGATCTGCTTTAGCCCGTGTCACAGTGGTAACAGCTGTAAAATTCACCATTGTTGACCATCCTGCTCCTATCGATGCACTTCTGAAGAACTGTATAAGTAAAGACTACTATGATTCAGAATACACAGTTTAAATTACTGTCTATTCCCATCACGTTAATATTAATATTTTGCAACAGGTGATTTTTTATCCACACTTAAAGATGAGGACATGAATGTGCGGCGCGTGGCTTTGATCATGTTTAACTCAGCCGCTCATAATAAGCCATCTCTCATTCGAGGACTCCTGCCAAAAGTCCTGCCCAATCTGTACCAGGAGACGCAGATCAGGAAGGACCTCATCAGAGAGGTCAGTCGTGGAATCATTTATTGATCTTGTGTCTGTCTGGAATATTTTGAGACAATTCCACTAAGGAAAAACTGTCAGATAAACAGATTCATAAAGTTGTATTCATCACTTCTTGTCATCATAGATTTGTCGATGCCAAATTGTTGCTAACTAAAAACAAAATTCATGCGTCAGTTTAAAAAGATAATGAGGTGACAAGTGGAGCAGCGCTTCTACATCTCTACAAAATAAGCATAATTAGCAACAGTTCACTTCTCTCAGAGTGTGAATGCAGCCTTAAAGGTACTCTGTGTAATTTTTAAGGTTGCGCTAAATTAATAAAACATGGTGCAAATGTGATCTTTTTAAGAATATTTACCTTCACCATGTTTTTGAATTTTTGTCATAGGCTTAGTTAGAGCCCTGCACTTGAGCCCCTGGCCCGAGGGCCGGCTTCGGGCCGATGACCGTATAATGACCTCGGACACGGGCCGGGCTCGGGCTCGCGCACTTTCAGAGCGGCAGATCACATTTACGAACGCATCCACTGAATATAGCGTTCTATCACGCTGTAGTGTTTGTTGTTCTGTGTAGTGTTGTCATTGACGATACACAGCGTTACTTACAAATGTGTTGCGGCATCTGTGTATCATACATCTGTGTCTCATACATCTGTGTATCATACAGCTGCGGCCGTTCACTCCGCACACACAGAACTCACTGCAACAAATTACTACCATGTATAACTCCGCCCTCTAGCCAAGCCTGTGTTCATATCAGTGCGCGGCACTATATACTATGCTAAAACATTGTTATGGGAGGTAGGAAAAAAAAAAAAGTCGGGCTTGATGCGGGTTTCGGGCCTGAAAATTCAGAAACCATATCGGGCCGGGCCGGGCTGGGGCGCCACCCCCTTGGTCCAGGGCCGGGCTCGGGCCCAGATAATAGGCCCGTGCAGGGCTCTAGGCTTAGTGGTTGATATAGGACAAAAAGGATGCAAGAATTGCGTATTTGTTTCACAGGTGCTTCTAATATTGTTGCTTCCACCGTGCCTTCAGAAGTTTGAAGTAGAAACTATGGAGGACCACAGCTAAAAGAACCACCCGAACAAAAATATTTAGGAAAAGAATTTTGGAAAAATCTAGAAACCAGTCATTATAGCATCTGTGTCAAAATCGCAAACCACACACACCGAAAGACAGAGTTAACACAACAGGGGGCACATTGCTGTAGTTTGTACAAAACAGACTCACACGTTAACAATACGTAACTTTTCTTCACACTGACAATAATGAGAACGAGGCAGAATCTACAACACAGGTCTCGGGATGTTCTGACCCGATCCGAGCGCAGTCCAACTATGTCACAAGTTTCAACAAAACTTATTCAGGGGAAAAGCCTCAAATAAAACACACAGAATCCCCGCAAAAATCATCAGTTCTGTTGCTTACCTGGTGATGCGGACGTGGCACTATGGCTAAAGCTATTAATAATCTGAGCTTTTAGATAAGATAAGATAAACCTTTATTAGTCTCACAGTCGAGAAATGTCAGTGTCATCGTTGCGCACATTACAGCAGAGAAAGGAAATAAGAGCACTCCGATTGCACACATCAAATGCCACAGCTGTGTATGTATGCCCATGTTCATGTCCTGGCTTCTCTGATCATAGTCTGTCTAAGCTCCCATTCTTCCCTCTCTTCTCTTCACATCGCGTTTGAATAAAATTAAAAAACCTTTGTGCAGCGTTCGGACTGCTTACATTTCAGTTTGTTTACATTTTAGGGCTGCAATGTTAAGTGACACAGAAGTATGGAGAGATCTGGTCATTTATCAAACTAAAGGATTCTTTCTTTGGCCCCGGTTCAAATAACTGGGAGTCGGGGACCACTGTCAAAGACAACAGATAATCCTTCCAAGCTACTGTAGTACCAAAGGACTGTAATATATGATCTCAACGCTAGATAGGAGAACAAATTACAGAGAGTATCTTATAAACCAAGAAAACATCAATAAAGTGCAAATGTTTTTGATCTATTATTATGAACTAAAGTTAAATAAATGAAAGAATAAAAATTAGGCCCTCACCACAAAAACATGATTTTGACGTGTGAACATGCTGTTTCAGGTGGAGATGGGTCCATTCAAACACACAGTGGACGATGGCCTGGATGTGCGTAAAGCAGCGTTTGAGTGCATGTATACCCTTCTGGACAGCTGCCTCGAGGGACTGGACGTGCTCCACTTTTTGGACCATGTGGAGGAAGGACTCAAAGACCATTATGACATTAGGGTGAGACAGTTTAACATTTGTGCTTTATCAGAAAGAAAAAAAACTTTGTCACATATAATTTTGATAAATGTGCAATTTATTATTTATAACTTTTTTGTTTATTTTTATTTTAGATGTTAACCTTCTTGATGCTAGCACGACTAGCTACTTTGTGCCCAGCTGCTGTTTTACAAAGATTAGACCGACTGGTGGAGCCACTGAGGGCCACATGCACAACCAAGGTAAATATGTATCTCCTACTTTAATTAGACTGATTAAATTAGACTGACTGATGAGTAAAGTATTAGTAGTAGGAAAGTAATAGTAAAGCTGGATACATGGTGAAATGTGGCTCATGGTGAATCAACAGCTGTGGGTGTATGGAAAAAAGGATATCCCAATTTTCTTGGCTGCAGATGAAGAAGAAAAATCCCAATTTGTATTTGTTATATACACACATCACTGCAACTTGTTACATCTTCCTGTCACAAACTGCTCAACTAGAGAGAAAATTATGATCTCACCAAAAAGCATACTGTCATCGCCCTCCTTAACCACACGTTCATTATTTGTGACAACCAAGATCTTTCAGAACCATAAAGAATCACCCCTTTTTGTTATTTGAAGACAGACCAATGATTTGTTTTCTATGTCAAATGTACATTACATTGTGTAACTTTTTGGGCAGAGAAAGAAGCACTTGCTATGGATTAGTACACTAAGGTATTTCAAGAATGGTGTGGCATTCTAAAGGCTAATTCATACTTTATTAGAACCAAGATGTTTACTTTTCATTTTTGTATGTATGGTTTACATAATAAGATATTATGAATCCCAAAGTATTTAGCATTATGCGAATGCTTTGAGAAAGGCCACGCAGACGGGAAGATGAGTGGAAGTTCAGCTTTTTGGCCAGCTCTGGTTCAACAGTGCCTGAAGAGGGCAGCACAGAGCTATGCTGGCACACAGCATAGCTCTCACCAATTGGTCATTTAGAAAATGACCAATTGGTGAGTGCTGTTCAGAGCTGGACAGGTTTATTGCATAAAACTGTAGATTTATAGAAAACCGATTTCAAAAGAAAACTAAAATCCCCACAAAATCCAACCTTTTGTCAATCCCGTCTGTCAATTAAGACTCGTGTAAAATGTACCATAATACTGTATAACACTACATTAGTGAACATAATGAAAACATGTAGAGTTTAAAAAGTTTTGCAATGACTCAAAATGAAATCATTTAGGATCATTTGTGAATTTCCTGAATCCTTTGGGGAGTTACCTGAAAGGGGTTGGCGAGCTACTGGTAGCTCCCGAGCTACAGGTTTGGAGACCCCTGGTCTAAAACATATCTATCCATATCAGGTGAAGGCTGGCTCTGTGAAGCAGGAGTTTGAGAAGCAAGAAGAGCTGAGACGATCGGCCATGCGTGCTGTCGCCGCCCTGCTGGCCGTGCCTGAGGTGGAGAGGAGCCCCAGCATGGCTGAGTTCGCCAGCCAGATCCACACCAATGCTGACATGGCCTCCATCTACCACAGCGTCCAGGGAGGGGATGCAGCTGGGCTAGGCCCAGCGGAGAGCATGGATATGGGTTAGGTTTGAACTACTGCACGAGTCTATTGAAGGAAGATTTTAAATGAAGACACAAGAAACCATCTATTCTATTCTATCTATTTTTTATGATTGTTATAATAGCAGTTTTGATGCTAGTTTTCTTGAATTAAAGCAAAAACAGCCAACTGTAAAAGAAACATGTCTGGCTGGTTATTTCTACAAAAAAGTAAATTTAGACATTCCCTTAATCCCGTTTATCCATTTCTGGGTCGGGGTGGTAGGAGTCAGAGCTGCCACCCAAGTCACATAGCACCAGCTCCTCACTGATCCTCCTGCAGGTGGTGAGTCCACAGGAGGATGGCTGCTCTGTCAGTGATGACACAGCCTTGATTTTTCAGCGGGAGCTTCAGGCAAAATGGGGTTAAGTATCTTGCTCAAGAACACAACAACAGCAGACCTCAGTGGGACCTCAACTGAGCCACTGTTGTCTGAATTTAGACAGTATTTATACATTATTTCCAAAAGGTATACATACAGTTAAGACCTAAAGGACAAACTAGAGACAGGTTGAGAATTCAAAATTGATTTTATTAATGAATTGTTCTTTTGAGTGAACTTTATATTGATAAAGCCAAACAAACCCAACCTTGTGTCCAACACACAAAAACCCAGCCAAAACAAACAAAATGGGCCAACAAAGAACCTACCCTTTACAGGGCATGGATCTATTATAATAACTGGATAGGGTATTACTAGCTTTTAGCTGAAGAACTCATGTGCTCAGGGGATTCTCGCAGTACTGCAGACTGAACCAGACTAAATTCACGTGGGCTACCCAGAAATTTTCCCCAAAGAACTCAATGCATATTAAAACAGCTCAACCTCAGCTGACAGAGAACCTGACAGAGAACCTACAGCTTTAATAAAGATCGGATTTTGTGGGGATTTTAGTGTCCCTTGTCATCCTGAACTTTTTTTTTTCTTAAATCCTAACTCCCGCTCTGATGAACTGCTCTGATTGGTCAGAGCCCGGCCGAGCCCCTCTGTGCACGTGCGTGAGACCCGGTGTGAGACCCACACACGCGTGTTTGGCGCAACGCATCATGGGAGATCATCCACTGCGCAGAACCTGGAGGACCAGACGATGCCCAAATACAGGCGAGTTTCCCATAGATCTTTGCGAGTTTCAGGCGACTTCCGCTAATCTTTCAGCGCCCATGCTGTCACAAAGCGCCACTGAGCACAACCATTCATTTGATTAGGGCGCCATCTTGGATCGCTGGGGCTTGGTACAGGGCCGTTCGGATCCGATGCCGACGCCCTAACTAAGAATCAAGAAACCCAAATAGCTACACCCTCATCAGCTAAAATGTAACCACCGGACCCATCAGATCAAACAAAAATGAGGACAGGAAAAAACTTATGACAAACGGCTAAAAAATAACTAAACCATGCGATGTTTGACGAGGCCGCAAACGGGACAAGGGAGCTGGCAGCGCGTGCACGCTCACCTCACCTGTAGCAAAAGAGGCTGAGAGCAGAGCGGGGCGGGAGTGCACCAGGACAGCGCTATATACTCCACGTCCAAGCTGCAAAATATACAAAATACATTTAACAAAATATATCAAAACAATACCAAAAAACATTACTATAAAAGATAACTATACTTTTTTTTATTTTTATAAAAATTATAAAACCCAAAAATACCAGGACAAAAAGATAAGACACAAGACCAAACATAACAATACTTAGATTATAATGTATACCTCTGAACCCTTTTTTTGGAAGTTTTCTAATGTAAATGCTGTTTTTGTTTTGTAAAACACTGAGCTCTGTGTTCACTGAGAGAAACTAAGTTAACAATAAAAACTGCATAGGCATGAATGATCAGTTAGTCCACAATCATCACTGTGATGGCTTGTTTTTGGAGTTCAGAGGGTCCCCAGCTGACGCGATGGAACATCGGTCTGGTGTTTTTGTGAATAAAACGTTATATTCACAATGAGAAGCGCTGGTTTTGGGGCTTGTAGATTTGGGGACTTTATCAAAATCCAGACTGGCATAATGAACAGAGTCTTTAGAGCCCCGCGCTGAGGCGTACACCGTGGATAAGGTCCGCCCGGCATTTGGGTCCTGAATCTCCTCATAGATATTGTTCTCCTGTTGAAGACAAGTGAAAGAAAATAAGAACAAGCACTTTTGGAAGGACAAAGGAAAATTCAGGATTATTTCATGTATCACTTTTTATCTCCTGGACTGGAGTTTCAAAGCAACATTCCATAAGACTTTTTGATTCAATACTATACGCTTTGTACAGCCCTAAATCACAACAGTAGTCGCTCAGAGGACTGCACGAAGAACACAGATCAGAGAATCAAAGAGGAAAATCGTTCCAATCAGACCAAGAGGAAGTTGTCCCTTTATTTTTCCTCAAGATTAAAGCTGTTTCACGGTTTTCTTCTTTTCTATTGTCTCTTAAAAATAATTATGAAGAAGTAAAATTCCTAAAACCAGAGAAGTAAAATGTCTTGTAAATGCCATCTTTGGCCTCTCTCGAATTGGTTGATCCCGTCTGTCAATTAGCGGTAACTGAGATCACACACCCTCTGAGACTTCATATGTTTGTAAATGTTTGAAAAAGCATGTAGCAGTAGTCTGATGACCAGCCCAGAAACAAAAATAAAATGAAGGAAGATGAAGAGGCACAAACCATTTTGTTCTGCTCTGAAGAGTGTTTATTCTTTTTGCCTGAAGAAAAGGAAAATGGTAGTTGTAAAAATATGTACGGGGAGCGTTCACAAAAATGCTCAACAGATCAATTTCAAGATGTAAATCGAGGTTATACCAGTAGGCACACATTACGCATACAGCAGAAACGTAACAAAACTAAAACACAGAGTTACTCACAGTATTTAAGGACCATCACGAGCAACGTCAGCGACATCGCCAGCAGCAGAATCACAAGGGTCACTACTATTATTGGTATAATTATTCCTGTCAACAAACACATGTAATCAAGTCACAAGTCACTCATCTTATGCCTATTATACATATTCATGATAAAATACTTACTCTTCTTGCGGATGGTCCAGCCCTGAGATGGCTCTGTGAAGTACATGTGATGTTAATATAAAGATTGTAATTCATACTGTAGATTTGTTTGGACAACTTATTTCCAAATTGTCAACTTGATACGTTTAACCCTAACACTACTTGTTGGATTTTACCACAGATACAAAGCATTCATTATAAAAGGCTGAAAACTGTCACTTACTTCTTAGCTCCAGTCTGAAGAAGATCCTAATCCCATTTTCGGTCTTAGTTCCAAACCAGTACACTCCTGCATCCTCCTCCGTCACATTTTTTATTGTTACAATTGTGTTTCTATTGATCTCGTTGTAAATTAGACTGAACTTGTCATGGTTTTGATTTGTACTGTTTACCAAATGTTGGCACATGGACGGATCCTTCCCTTTACAGAAAAATGTTCTTTTTGTTTCTTTTTGTTTCTTTTTGTGTGCCAGGTTGTAGCTATGTTGAATGTCTTGTCCTGGTTCCAGATCCTTGAGAACATCCTCAAAGTCTATGCATTGAAAAAAACAAACAAAAAAAACAATTCTTACTCATTGTGTACTATGAATATCTGAAATCCGAATCCAGACTCTGAAAGAATGGACTGTCTACGTTCATCAGCTAAAAATATTTTGTTTCTAGCCTGTTTCCTTCCTCTGTAATCAATCATTAGTAATGATACAAACGAGGCAGTTCTGAAGCGAACGCGTTGCAGAAACAAACTTTCACTCACCTGAACGAACAGTGACAAAGACATTCCTGTATGTCCAATTGAAATTGTTCCCTTTAGCAACGCACCAGTAGTTGCCATGGTCATTTGTTGAGACCTCAGTGAAGGTGATATTGAGCCCAGTTGTGTTTGTTGAGTATTTTGCCTTTGTGTTGATCCTTTCGATATCTTCACATTCATAATCACTGGTTTCTTTGCATAAAAAGGTTGAAGCGCTAGAGCTGTTGCTCGGATAGCCACACCTAATTGTGGTCTGTGCTTCGTTGTAGGTAATATGGTCGAGCATACGGGAACTACAATTCCCTGCAAACAAATACAACAATGAATATAAGAACAGTACCAGTATAGGAATGTGCAGGAAGTTCACTTACCAATTGTAACTGGAATACCACAAGAAACTAAGTTGTCGTTTTCATTGATATTTCTAACTACCACTGTGGAACTCTTATCCTCATTTTTAGTAATTTTTGTTTTACTTATTGGTAAGGTATCATTGTGGGGGTCATCTTTACAGGTGAACTTGATCCATCCCCCTGAACATCCAGTCAGTTGTGAGTTGCTGCTACCTGTTAAAAAGAATAGAACAGAATTGAAAGGCTTTAATTTCTTGATCTTTGAAGCTGAACCAGATCGGATTGAAGAGCTTCCTTTACTAACACATTTGCCGCCATTACCAAACTACAGTCAGCAAATTTGGCGCAAACTCTTGACGCCACTGACACCTACCTACGGCAACCCCCGCTCGCTGAATGGTCGGATGGGTATTTACAGTCTATGGTTAGACCGAGCAAACTGCAGCCACTAGGATCAGACCCAGACGTATACAGCAGAAGGAAAAGATGTAGGAAATGATCATTGACCGGAGTTCACGGATGGCTAAGACCAGACTAAGACTCGTGAATTACACATCCACATCCTTAAATCTATAAATGTATTATTTGTTGTAAATTCAATGATACTTACAACAATTTTGAAGACAAAACCTACTATTTATCGCAAGACTATCTAACCAACTATTCATATTTACAGTGAAAGCCATTGTGGTAGGAGCTTTATTACATTTTTATTACATTTTGCCTAAAGTTGTCATCAGGGTTTGTTAGTTAGTTCACATGCTTAGAAATGTTCAATAAATCAAGGAACAAGTGTGTGTCATGGAAAGTTTAGTGAATTGTACCGAGCTACGCAATGTGTGCTGCGTGTGGACATGATTCTTGCATCAGCGCCATTTGCTTTTAATGTGGCTTCAAATCCTGCTACATCCTGTTTGTGAAATATTGACTGTCAACCACTAACACGGAAAGATGAGCCTTTACTATAATGACTACCAATTAAGAAGTATGTAGAACGAGAAAAGGGGTCCTCAAAATGATGTATCTTGTATAATTAAGCAAAAAAAAAAAAAATGTAAAATGGTGTCAAAGCTTTTCCCCTACAGATGCAGCAGACACTCTCAACACTTCCTTTGGTCGATTTCAGAAGGATGTTCAGTATTTCTTTACGTATTTTCATGGTCGATGATTTACAAACTTTGTTACAATGGTGCTATACTATGAATAATGAATACAAGTTAAAATGTGTGATCTAACAGCATGGATGAAAAGAAACATGTAATGGAAGATTGCACCCTAATTATTCTAATAATACATTTTATTTAAAAGCGCCTTTCAAAACACCCAAGAACACTGTACACATGTGGTTAAAACAGGATGCAGTTTAACAACATTAGCATTATTAAGAACAACCCTGTTTTATAAATGTTTTGACTTCAAGCCTGAAGAAAACAAATACTACACATAAAAGAGTCAAGTGTGGTATTTCAAGGCATTATATATTTGTATGGTTCCACTCATCTAAACATCAAAGATACCTTGAAAAACACCCTCTCCACGGATCTGACTTTTTTGTCCTTGTTTGTTTTCTTCTGACATTCCAGCCAAAGTCATCTCCATGGAAACAACAACTTTCCTCCAGAATAGATAGGTACATATTCATGGATAACAGTTCCCATTCAAAAGATCCCTCTGAACCCATGGACTGTGCAAAGTTGGACCAAGTGCAATTTTTTTTTACTTAAACCTTTGATATTATAAGTAATGAATTGTTTTACTATATATTTTAAAAACAGAACTTACCTGTAATCAAAGAAAGAAGGAGAATATAGACGTTCATCTTGGTGTGTGCTGACATGTCTTGTTGAAGTTGTTGAAATGTACGTGCTTATCGCTGTTTCCTGAATAGACCATATCATATCGTTCAATCTTTTTCCATTCTGCGGTGGCTTCAAAAGCGTGAAATTAGTTGTAGAGTTGCTTTTATCAAAAGTTTTAATAACAAACTTGACAAACAGCGTGTCCGTTGAGAATCATAACATCTAAAATGCTATTCCGTTAATTTCATGTAAATTGTTGAAACTACAATAACCCCTCACTCTGCTGTGTGTTATATGTGAGTGTGTGTTTTTGTGCTGTGCTCTGTTTGTGATGTTTTTGTTAGTTTAAATGTAAAAAAATCCTGTAAATTACCTTTTCAACTTGAGAAACCAGAACGATGGCATGATTTAAAACAACACTTTAGACGGAATTATTCATTTGCGACAACAACAAAAAAGTAGTAGTAAGTAATCTTTATTTATATACCGCCTTTTCACTGCACATCGGAGTCTCAAAGCGGTTTACAATTGTGATTTTTGGGAGTGGGGGTGCCAGCACAGGAGGCACATGCCAGACCTATTGTACATAATTTTAGTGGTAGGGGAAACCTACGCAGACACGGGGAGAACATGCAAACTCCACTCAGAAAGGCCCTGGTCCAACCGGGATTCGAACCCAGGGCCTTCTTGCTGAGAGGCGATAGTGCTATCCACTCAGCCACCGTGCCGCCCTTACATTACACATACATTACAGACCAAAAGTTTGGACACACTTTCTCATTCAATGAGTTTCCTTTCTTTTCATGACTATTGACTGTAGATTCACACCAGGCTGTGTAAGGACTGTTTGACCAAGAGTGGTGGTGCTGGGCCAGATGACCCGGCCTCCACAGTGACCGGACCTGATGGTTTTGGAGTGAGCTGGACCACAGAGTGACCACCAAGTGCTAAGCATCTCTGGGAACTCAGACTATTTTTTAGGTACGTACATAATTCCACATGAGTTAATTCATAGTTTTAAGGCCTTCAGTGTGAATCTACAATTATGATTGCCATGAAAATAAAAAACTCTTGAGATGGTTGGGTGTGTCCAAACTGTTGGTCTTTACTGTACATTAGAAAACTTATTTGAAAGGCTCACAATTTCCCTTTACCAGGTAGTTTTTTGAAAGGGCAGATCTACATTTTGGTGCCCTTAATTCACTGCGACAACTCTTACAACAAAAAGGGCCGCAAGACAGTAGGGGAAACCATGATTTATTTCAAGAATACTGTTGCATATAGAGGATATTGTCTTTAAAAGCTTCATCAGCAGGTAACTTGTTCTCCCGGTGGTGTGCCCCGGGCTGTGCGACCGTGTCCAGTGTCGCAGTGGCGTAGATGGTGCTCAGTGCAGCTGCACCGACCTGCTGGGGGCGCTCTTGTATCTCGTCATAATAATGATCCTTAGAAACAAGAAACATCTATTTAGAAAAAAAACATAAATATAAATGATCATTGAGATAGTTTGTTAGGCCTGTTTTTGTGTCCTTTGATTTATTTAGGTTTTTTTTTACTTTAATTGACTGTAGTAGAAACAATAGTTCAGTCATTAATACACTTGTTGCTTTAGTTGAAGCTGCATTATTATCAATTCAATCAATCAATTTTATTTATAGAGCCCTTTACAACACACCAAAGTGCTTCACAATAAAATTCCATAAAATGCGTTTAAAACATTAAAACAATAAAACAGTTTAAAAAACATTTAAAAACAATTAAAAAGTGTCACCTACGATTGAGGGATAAAAGTGTTAAAAGCCAGTCTGAACAAATAAGTTTTGAGCCTAAAAAGGTCAAAATCAGTGAGGACACGCATACTAGGGGTCAGCTTGTTCCAGAGTCTGGATCCAGCGACTGAGAAGGACCGGTCTCCCCGGTGTTTGGACCTAGTCCTAGGTACTTCCAGGAGAAGTTGAAATGAGGACCTCAATGATCTGCCTGAGTCACGAACAGTCAAAAGTTTGGACAAGTACAGCGGGGCGAGACCATTAAGGGCTTTAAAAACAAAATAAAGGGCATTACAGTAATCACAGTAATTCTTGAACTGATAAAAGCGTGGATCGTTTTATCCAGGTCGGATCGGTTTAAAAAAGGCTTCACCTTAGTTAAAATACGCAACTGATAAAAACTTGACCTAACCACACAGTCAATCTGTTTGTCCAAACGAAAAGAATGATCAAAAACAACACCAAGGTTTCTGACCATTGGTTTAAAACAAGAAGACAAGAGTCCAAAATCTGAAACATGTGAATCGCCAAACAAAATAAAATCAGTTTTGTCTTCATTTAAATGGAGGAGATTCTGCTGTAACCACAGTTTGATGTCAGAGATGCAAACGTCAGACATTTTACAGTATCGCTCCCATTTGACGAAACTGGAAAATAGATTTGCAGATCATCTGCATAGCAATGAAATGCTAATTTATGTCGGGCAATAATGGACCCCAGTGGTAGCATGTAAAATAACAAAAGAAAAATAACATGGGGCCCAAAATAGAACCCTGAGGCACACCGCATGACAAAGAGGAAACAGAGGAAGACTTATCACCAATCATATCAGAAAATGTTCTACCACTGAGGTATGATTGGAATCATCTAAGTGGGGGCCACAGACGCCAACATGATACTCCAGGCGGGAGCATCAACAGACTGGTTTGGGCTGCTACAGCAGAGTGCTCTCACAGACGCCACTTTATTAACAAAAAACTGTAGAAAAGACTCACAGGTAGAAACTGTGGCATCTACAAAGGCAGAGGTGTGAGGGTAAGTGTTATTATGTAACATGTTCTCACCTCCTTGTCAGCTGTTGGAACCATAACAAAGCAACATCCTGAAAAAAAGAGATGTACTGTATTATGTCAATAATCAAATTACATGAATGTGTTTTTTTACAGTTGCACGTTAGACTGAGACTGAAAATACTTACGATGCCTATGGAGGCACAATAGAGCCACGGCGAGCAGAAGAAGGATGACACCGACCACTACTCCAATAACTATGCTTTTCCATCGTTCATCTGTGAACAAATAAGTCAAATAAATGTTAGCAGACTTTCATGTTAGCCACACCAATTGTTAGCATCACATGATTCTCTGTCGACGTTTGCTCTGAATATGTTGAATATTCCTGAATAAGTAACGCTCATTTCCTCACCTTGGAACATGATGTCTCTCTCACTTGTGAAAGTAATCATTCAAAGAATGTGATTTCTTAACAAACTGAGTTCTTTATAGTTTATTGTTCCCATATCGATTTTTAGGCCTTGTGCAACTCATTGGTCTGGACCTTTCTACAATATAGAAGTCAGTGTCTTTGAAGCTGTTATTATTTGATCAACATTGAGATTCAAAATATATATTGATGATCAATGTATCAATTCATGTATTGATAACTTTACTACTAAAGCAAGACATGATGACATTCTCTCACCTTGTTTATGTGGTTGTGAAGATGTAGATGGATAAATAGGGCTTGTGTTATTCTTGTTTGGAAGTGTGGTTGAACTTTCTGACTCTGTGGAAGAAACAAGACTGTTGAGTTGGATTATGTAACTTGTATATAATACTTGTGTATTCAAAAAAGAGAATTTGGGTAAGGATGTTTTTTATACCAGCTCTAAAAGAAAGGTGTCGTTCAATATTCAAAATGGCAGATCTTTTTCCAGCCAAAGTATTTTTGTAAGCGAGGATTCTCAATGAAATTACCTTATATTTACTGTATGTATTATTTTTAATATGGAAAAATGTTCAAAAACATGAAATATTAATAAACGAAAACACACTTACATATAGTATGCCAATTCAATCACTAAATTATATATATTTGCTTTTGGCTTTAATGATGAAATGTTAATACACCTTTTACCCTATAAAATCCTGTTACTGCCATGTTGCTACTACTGAAGTAATTACAACTATCTGCATATTGATTTGACATAATACAATTTAAACAATATTGGATTAACACCTGGAATTTGAACGTAAAAAACATTACATTAATTGACTTTTAATTTAAACAAAAAATACAATTAATGAATTTGTGCTCAATTCAAATCATAGAATGTAAATATTAGCAGACATAGTGACGCATATTTCCCGCGTTTGAAATGTTTGGAAATGGCCGCAAACAGAATCTCCTGCAGGAAAATGGTGAAAAAACATTTTTGGAGCAGAGGCTGATTCATTTGCGCATGCGTTAGCCGACCCGAGCCTGGGTGATGTCGTTCATTTGATGTTTTCATTCAGATTTCCACAACGGCTAAGCTAGGCTGGTCCAAAAAGAAATACTGCCCTCAGCTTTGAAAGCATCTGGATCGTAACATTAAGCCCAGAGCCGACTTTTGGACCAGGTTGTAAAGCGATTTTTGGGAGGAAGAAAGGCGCCATAAAAATGCATTGGATAATTCTGTTTCCAGGTACACCCCCACCGGCAAGGAGTCAGATTACAAACATGTGTGCTTATGGACCATTTTGAGCCGAGATCCGCCCCCACTGATTTATATGATTTATTATTTGCTGGAATATGAGATTAAAAAAACACAAAAATACTCACTGACGAGTAGAAGCAGTTTATGGAAGAAGTGCTTTTCATTTCCGCTGCTGCTTTCAGCCCCAAACCAATACCACCCACTGTCTTCTTCTGTTACCCCATGAACAGTGATGATTACAGTTTGGTTTTCAGACACATCTTCAAGGGAAAACTTGCTGCTGATATTTGGACATGCTGAAGAATTGTCTCCTTTACACACAAACTTCTGGAGAGGGAGACCATCTGGATACGGGCACGGATACGAAGAGTTCTGTCCGGGACTGAGCCTGAGTCTGTTCTGAGTGACATTCACAACTGCAGGGACATATGCACATGTTACAGAACCACTTTACTTACTCCTTTGTGCAATAATAACTTTAATGGTTTGACAATTAGAACCCGGAAGGAATATTGTCTAACATGTGCTGGAGGGAATTCAATAGTAGATGAATAGTGTTTGGCCTTTATACATTATTGTTTTTTTTATATTTAAAGAATTAGAGGTATTGTTTAAGTCGAAAATACATGGATATATATATGTGCAATGATACATAATGGATCTCAGCATGTGATTCCCCACTTCTCCCACCAGAGAAAGGTGTTGAATGACTTCACATTTTTTTTCACTAGCTAACGCTGTGGACAGATGCTTGAAAATAATGTGATTTCACTGGGGGGGAAAAAAAGGATGGAAACATTTAAAAAAGCTATATTTGAAAGATCAATTATTGATTGATTTTGTTTTTTCACGACAGAGAGTGTTATTTAGAATTGGCCCAAATAAAATAAAGGATTGCCAGTGCTTTTGCAAAATTAATGTGGGGGAGAAAAGATGGCTGAGGGTGGCTGAGTGGATAGCGCTCTCGCCTCTCAGCAAGAAGGTCCTGGGTTCGAATCCCGGTTGGACCAGGGCCTTTCTGAGTGGAGTTTGCATGTTCTCCCCGTGTCTGCGTAGGTTTCCTCCGGGTGCTCCGGTTTCCCCTACCACTAAAAAAGTACAATAGGTCTGGCATGTGCCTCCTGTACTGGCACCCCCACTCCCAAAAATCACAATTGTAAACCGCGTTGAGACTCCGATGTGCAGTGAAAAGGCGGTATATAAATAAAGATTACTTACTTACTACTTACTTAAAAGATTCGTCAATAACTTTGATTTTGTAAATGAAGAGAAAAACAATTATATCTATATTAAACCTCTTGAAGTATTTTTAGAATAGTACGTCTCTCTTAAAGGAAGACCCAGCATCCTTCGTGTCATTCAGCAGTTTTAGCGTTTGCTATTTCTGTGTTATGTAAATATCACAGTTTTATATGTGTTTTAATGTTGACTAAATTTGTTTTTTTGACAACGGATGGATTAAAGAAAACCAAAATACATCGCCATGGTCCACAGAAGTCACAAGTCTGAAGAAAGATTTGTCCCTTACCTTGAAGCTGTATTTTCTGCCATGCCACCCTGAACCTCGGTCGCTCTGATTGGAAACCACACCAGTATGTCCCCTGGTCCTGTTCGCTCGCAGCACGGAGGCTGTAAACCGGAGCCGAGTCGAGTATGTCACATTCAGGTTCTGTGGGATTTTCTTTACAAATAAAATTGGCAGAATTCGGAGCACATTGGATGGTGGTTGATGATCCCTGGTACACGGTCATTGAGGATACACCGCAGGCTCTGTTACCTGAGGAAAATTATCAATGAATTAATCAAACACTTTTTGAATATAAAAACTAAAAATAACAAAAGTGGTTTACTCTAAAGTCAAATGAGTTGTTATGTAAGCGTCTTTTTACTTTTTATCAAAGGACAAAAGTAATCTAACAAAATCAAAACAGACATAACAAAAAAAAATCTACAGAAAAGAAAGTCAGAACAAATAATTCTTTAGTTTGGGCAAAAGTGTATTTGATTGTGACATCTTTAATTCTAGTCTAAAATTATGTGTACGCTACTTTCTGATCAATTATACATATTCATCCGCAACCATTTAATCATGATTCAACAATAAAAAAATAAAAAAAACAGCCTAAACTATATAAACAAAGAAAAACACACGAGACAAACATTAAACAAAGAAAATTCATAATCTTCTCACCTTTCTTCAAATCAATTCCTGTTTTTTTACTCTTCCTCCTGCACTCATATTTGCCAAAGTCATTTTGGGAAAGGTTTTTGACTAACACGCTAAAGTATTTTCCCGTTGTGTTTTGGTACACTGATCGAATTCCATCCAGATCCCTCCACTTATTTTTCACCAAATGTTTTAAGGGCAGTTCTGGTCCTCTGGGGAGAGAAACTTTAACATTTTGAGCCTCGCCGCGGGAATATGAGCATTTGAACTCAAACCAGCCTCCAGTGCATCCATCGACATCAGCATCATCACAGCCTGAAAGACAAATGACCAGTGGCTTTTGTCCCCATATTCAAAAAAACAAACAAACAAGAAATAGGATGTACCTGCGCTGAATATTAGGACAAAGAGAAAAGCGTTCCTCATGTTGGAAGTTCTGCTATACTGTATCTCTGACCAAATCGTCTGTGTTTTACAAACTCACAGCATGTCTTTACCTTTAAGTCCATAAAAGGTCAACAAACACTGTAATACTGCATGATTCATGAGACAACTTCCCAAAATGAACGAGAAAAAACTGCTGTAGTTCCTGTATTCAATCTACACACAATAAATGGTTTTGCTTAGATCAGAATGAAAACAATCAGTGTAAGAGGTTCCATGGGCCTTTAGTGTTTTTAGTAAGTAATACAAAATGTATGTTCAATTTGACAGAATGCACAACTATTTGTTTTGAGTTGATTCAAAGCAAAGCTATGGCTTTCACGCAGAGGAAAGATGTGCAATAACACCGTGAGAACATGCAAACTCCGGCCAACTGTTGCAAGGAGGGATCAAACACAATACCGTAACTTGCTAACCACTCAGCCAGAGATTGTTTGTATCGAGTATAGCAGGCAGGCACATTGATTCTACATTGGTCCTAGTATTTGACCAATTAGTAAATATTATTCAGGTAGTTTGAATAGAGCTACTTTGGTTTGGCCCTGTCGATTACGGTTTGTAAAAATAAAAACAATTGTTTATTTGGTCTAATGAGTTTTTTCAAAATGTTGCATTAGGCTGACTTGCTTCATATTCACTCTCAAAATGAATCCTCAAATATAAAGGTTTTCAAAAAGATTGTTTATATTTTGCTTTACAATGCATTCTGGGTAGCGTCACTACTTCGCCCAATTAATTTTGTTATATATTTTTTGGACCACCACGCTACCACAAGTAATTTCACCAAAAGCAGTACAATCAGTCTGGTATAGGGTGTAATTAAAATGTTTTAGTAGTTATAAATACAAAATATAAAATAATGAAACATGAAGAATGCACTAATTTTATATCAAAGTCTGGTCTGCTGCCCTTTTTACAGTGTACTCACTCCTCTTTTACAGCAACAGAAAAAAACAGTACCTTATATATAAGAAAACATATTACAAATTACAAGTGACGATGATTGATCTGACAAGTTTTCAAAGCACAAAGAGAAATGTTGGATTTAATTGATCAAGACACTTTTTCAACTTTTTCCATTTAACATTGTCACAATCGCTTTAATGAATCAGTTAAACGTATCTACTTTGTTGCACTTAATTGACTTTAAAGTAATCTTACACTTTATTTCTTTAATAGATATTAATATAGATATTAATTTTAAATGTTAATATTGAAAGTAAATGTATTAAGGCAAAACTCCTGGTATTTTTAAGACCCACTTCTGTTCTCCTCCTTCCGTCTCCTTCATTTTATTGCTATGTATTTTCTTAAATATATTGCAACATTTTATTTTATAGACTGATTTATTTGTTCATCTTATTTTAAGTTAGTTTTATTAGTTCTCACCTCCAACTCCCGCTCTGATCAGCAGTTCTTATTGGTCAGAGCGTGGCCGAGCCCCTCTGTGCACGTGCATGAGAGCCACACACGTTTTTTCGCCGCAACACATCATGGGAGATCATCCACTGCGCAGAACCGGGAGGACCAGACGATGCCCAAATACAGGCGAGTTTCCCATGGATCTTTGCGAGTTCCGCTAATCTTTCAGCACCCATGGCGGTACAATGCGCCACTGAACACAAACCACTCATTTGAATACGGCGCCATCTTGGATCGCCGGGGCCTGATTTAAATACCCCTTGCTTTTACAATACAAACTACAAGCTGCAGACTCCAAAACATTTGACACAGTGTATTCTAGTTATTTATTATATGACTTGGACCGTACGCGCACTCTGAATGGTTGATTTGCGGTCTGATATTTTCCCATCTCGGACCGTTACCATGACAATTGGTCCGAACAGCGCGTATCACATTTGATATCTTTCCACGGACCGTTACCATGACAATCGGTCCACAGCCCGTATCACACAAAATCAAGTCGGACATGAACATACTTCACAAATATCTCAAAAGCATTGGTAAAGACACAGGATATTTCTCCATACAGACCTCGCGCTCGGTTAATAAGCCGTTAATATCCCTCTTCCAAAAAAAATTATAACATTTTTTCTTTTGGGTTTTCTCTCATATTATTGTCTATTTGACCTTGTCCATTGCACGTTTCTCTCTTAAGCTTTAATGAAAGGTTGTAAAGTTGAATTATAAACACTACCATGGCTAATGGAGGGAACACTTTGTCCATTTGTGTGCTGCTTTTGAACTATCTTTTTAGGTATTCCCCACTCCCGAGCTGAGTGCATTCCTGTTTGATTACATCTCATACAAATCAATGGGAAAAGATGATAGGCAGTGAGTGATCTCAGACATTGTGCTTCTCTTGGTCCCATTAGCAGTGTGTGCCATGACATGCTCCAATAACAAGCTCCTAACACCCACTGCTTTTTGAAAATTGGAAGATGAAATGTCATAACATCAAATCCCTTGTTAAAAATCGTTTTCAGAATTCTTTGGTTATGAATCATATTTTTGCATTTATCCTGGCTTTTAATTTGTGTAACTGCATACTTCTACAGTGTTGTTATTTTGTGATATATTAAATAAATAAGCGCTAGTGCATTACTATAAACAAAAATAAGAGATTTTTTTACCTGGTGGATTAGACTGTTATTTTTTGTGTTTGATTCTCTAATGTATTATTTGCAAATCAACCATTATATAAAGTCCTTCAAGACCTGGTGTCAGGAATTAGGGCTATACAAAATTGTAGTTAAATAGATTTGTGCAGACCCACTGGTTGACACACATTTAATACACACTGTACCTGTACATTTCAAGGGACTGGTGCTATGAGCATTGGGTGGCAGCTCTCATTGAAATGAGCTCATAAAGGGGATGAGAATGAATGAATGAACATTTCAAGTCCAATTCCTCTGCATTACTTTATTTATGTTGCAATGAAACCTTTGGCACATGACCCAACATTGGATTAATAATATCTGCATTATTAATGTCTGCTTGTATATAAGTCCCCAACTTTTTTGTTTTGTTTTATCATTATTATCTTATACTTTCTGTTATTCTCCTGTTTTGCAACACTTTCTTCTCTTCTTTCTTTCTCCCTTTAAATGAAAAATGAAACGCTAACAATATGCCAAAATCTAAAAAACTAAATTTCAAATTATCGCCAGAAGACACAGATCATGTGTATTTACCTCTCTTCAGTCACCTCTAAAAATATTTGGATTAAATATGCACAATTTAATGTTAGTGCTAAAGTCTTTGTAATTATTTGTGCATGCATATGGAGAAATTATGGAGTGAAGTATGAAGCACTTTTACCTCAAATTAACAAAATTATGAGAGCGAATGTCATTGTTTTTGAAAGCCATTACTGTAGTTACTGCATTTACTGTATGTCTGAGGATGACTATAGTTGTATGTATGGCTTGGTAATTACAGCTGCTGTCTTCTTGCATTCTCTGGCCCTGTTCCCATGAGAATCATCTTGTCTCGGAGCAGAAGTCATCCGCAGGGTAACCTCACTGCCCCCCGTCCCCAGAGGAGCCGTCTTGACTTGTCTTGAGAGATCTGTCCAGACCAGACCAGCGCTGAGCAGTGGGCCATGCATTTATTCTCTAACATGCATTTTGAAGGTATCATCTGAAGGAGACATTTACAAACACCTAAGAGAAAAAGAAGATAAATGACTACAAGGATTCTTTTTAAATACAGAACTCAGGCACTGAAACTCTCACTTATCTGACAACAAGTCTACTGTTGCTCATTCCCTGAAAAGCATATTTGTAAAGTTCATAGTTTGGGACCTGACAATATATCACAAACTCTACATTTCGGTAATTATTCTTCTAGTGTGATTGTTGTTTTTTATTGCTGAATGGGTCTTCTCCAGGCTCCATCACCTCAAAACGTGCAACACATAGTATGATTCTGGGTCAGAACTAAACATGGGGAGGCAGCGTTTCAGATTTTATGCAGCCAAAATCTGGAACTGTCTTCCTGAGAATGTGGGACAATAGGTCTGGCATGCGTCTCCGGTACTGGCGACCCTGCTCTATGTATTGCGCTTTGTGACCGGTCTGTGAAAGCCGCCATATGAATACAAATTACTTACTTACTTACTTCTCTGTTACCTGTGTGATTTTAACCAGGATTTTATCTCTTCTTTTTAAACGCATTGTAGTTATTTATTGTTTTAATCCCTTGTGTGATTTTAATGTTTTAATGTTTTTTTAATTACCTGCGTGATTTTAACTGTGGTTTTAAAGGTGATGTTGGTGTTTGTTTTTTGTGATGATTTGTGCCTTGTGTGATGTGGACTGTGAAGCGCTCTACAAATAAGGATTGATTGATTGATTGTGGTTTGTGTGTGAAGGATTGGTGGTGGTCAGAGGTTGGTGCACACTACAGCCTCACGAGAGAAACTTGCAAACCTATAACGTGTAAGACATTATTTTTATCCTTGGATCATCAAAAATCTATTGGAAATCCAGCGTATACTTGTTTGTTAGACACTTTTGTCCAGCAATAATGCCAGTAAAATGCTGATTTTCACACATAATCCGTAACAACATGAGTGTCCAGTTCACAGTGTCCTTGTTGAAGAGCTTGTTTCTCTGGACTGGTCTGGAACTAATCTGTGTGTGTTTTCACAGATCGCTGAAGACCGACTAAGACCCGTCCCGGACTCTGGGCTCTACTCTGTGAAAGCTATGTACTTCATGTCCGAGGTCTTAGCATTGTGTCTATGTCTGAGTTAATAGAGAATGATGTTAGAGAAGAGAACCTTTATGTTATGGACAATATGTACATTTGGCCATGTCATGTCACTGGATTAAAGCAGGTCAATCCAATGCTCAGTCAGTTTAGAGAAGTTCTTTTTGTTTCGTTTATAGCATTCCAACTGCTTTAAAAGCCTAAGTGTTATAATGGAAGGACAAGGAGCTCTTTTTAATGTTTTCCAAAATTATCATCTTGAGATCCTTAACAAATAGACAAACGAAACATTGTATTTGAATGTAGTTTTAAAACTGCTGCCTTAGATTTAATGCTGTTTTATGTCTCTACTTGTGCACACTGGGGACTTTTGCAAATGAATTCCAATGTGGTTTTACTGATAATGGCAAATAAAATGAATCTGAATCTGAATCTGATTTGATTGACTTTGGTTCATTCTGGTCCAGACCCAAATATTTTCACTTTTGTCTTGGTGACTTCATTGACTGAGAACAGTTTTCACAAAAATCATATTTGGAAATCAGAATGAGTTACCAATCATTCAATCTGGTAACATAAGAATTAAATAAGATTGGAATAGAATACAATTTGAGCTTTCAGGAAAATGAAGCAAGCAGGTATTAATACAAATACTGTTTGTTTTCAATTTCTCAGCGAAGATTTTTTATGCCATAAGAAAGGCAAGTACATAATACATTTCAAAATCAACATTTGTCAGGTTCAGGTTTCTTTATTTGTACAAAAACAAAATTACATAAAAAATTAAAATTATATGATCCATTTTGAGAGAGATGGTCACATTCATGTAATATATATTTAGCTAAATACATCTTATATGTACATCAGAATAAAACTACAGTAAACAAAATGAAATAGAGGTTGTATTTTCTTTATATGATGAGAATGTCAATGCAAAATATTGTGCAAACTTCTATGTCTAGTTAGAATTTAAATTGACTCACACATGTTTTAGTACTAGTGCTTAGACTTATCATCCCAAATGCAAATGGTCACTCAATGTTCAAAAAGCTCCCACAATGCAGTTCTAAACCTCTACTTCATGAAGGTATATGAGACTGTGTCGGTAACTTATGTCCAAAGTGTGATTAAGAGAAAATAGCTGACGCAGCACTTTTCCCCCCTGTTTTATTTGCTCAAATCCCTCATGCCCCCCTCCTTCTCTCTTTCTCTCTCTCTCACATGTTTCCGTGACTTGTCCCAGATAAGACGGGGGGCCGAAGTAATTCTCCGGACCACTTTGGACACATACTCACTACTAAGCGCATTCTTTTTCCTCTGAGATGTTTTGGATTTTACATTGAGAGCTTGAAATTCTACTAATGGATGCAACTTTGATTGAAATTCAACATATTTTTTTTCCCTCACACCTGTTTGAACATTTTCTCTAAATGAATATGTTTTTTCACAATCCAAAACTATAATACGTCCAACATGGATTGACTGATATTGTGATATTTTATGGACATGTCTGACTGCATGCTTTCTGCTGTCCTAAATTGACTCATTTCAAACGATTTCCTATCAAGAAACAAGACCCAAACTCATCCAAAGTTGCGTCATGAAGTATCGTCAGCAGTGTTGGAGCTTCTTACTACTCAGTGCATGGACTTTAATTGTTGTCGCTGATGCTGCAGGACCTCCGGGGGCTTCGGACCGAGGACTGGGCAAGAGCCAGCGGAGAGACAAGCCCAGCACAGGAGCGGAGAAGAAGAGGAGGCTGCACCGGATCCAACACGGACAGTGCAGCTACACGTTTGTCCTGCCCGAGCTGGAGGGTTGCCAGGGGAGACAGGTCACGGGGGCCAGAGCAGGAGCCAGCGTGGTCCAGCGAGACTCCCCTCCGGACTGGTCCACGCAGAAGATACAGAGGCTGGAAAACACCATGGAGAACAACACACAGTGGCTGCAAAAGGTGAGGCTCCTGATTTTTTTCAATTCAATGTATTCTTGTATAGCCGTAAATCACGGTAGTTATCTAAGATGACTTTTCACAACTATTGAATTCACCAACACAGATCAAACACCAACAAGAGATAAAACAGAAAACACGTCAGTATTGGGCCATAAGAGACGGATGACCAATGTCCATAAGTGTTGATAAAATGATGTCTGAGGTTTAAATGTATGATTCAAATAGATATTAAAGCTGCAGCACCTAAACCACATAAGAGTTCAGATAAGAATTCCTTTATTTGTCCCACAGTGGGGAAATTTCGATGTTGCAGCGCACATACAGGACAGTAGTAAGAGCACACAGGGAGCACACACAATATACAAAATAGTAGCTATGTTTCTTAACTAGCATAACTAGCTGTAGATGCTAAAAGTATAAGATAAGAAAAACTTTATTGGTCTCACAATGGAGAAATTGTCACAAGAATCCATATTAAAAAGTTTTGTTCAACAGTATCTCTAGTTTTTTGGCCTCTGTCACATTGTTAGATCTGTAATTCAAGTAAAAAGATCGACTTCACTCAGGTGGCAACACAAAGTCAAAAATTCTCCCATTTCCAAGTTCGCACCAGCTGATTCTGATTCATCCGTGGCTTTGTTTGAAGAGTTTACACAAGGCCTTTTAACCTCATGGTGGAAAAGAAAAATGCCTGCTCAGGTTCTGCCACACAAATCTGATGTCACCTGTGTTAAACCGCCTGTGCCCAAAGAGAAGCAAACAGCAGAATAGATACATGCTTTCATTTGGACACACAACTAATTACGTCTTGAGCAGATTATGGACAGATTATATACAGTATACTGTAGAGTCACGGCTATTAATTTCCTCTGAGCAAGACCAGATGCAGGGAATACTTCTTCATACCTTCATATAATGTGTAGTAGTAGTTTATTTGAGCAGTTTTAAACACATTTTTATTACAGGTACATATAATTCAAGAAACAAAGCTTAAGTCGGATGCAAAAAGTCAATACGTTTAGGCGACGGCAAAACGATTCAAATTTGAATTTAAAAACATGAGTTGTAGAAAGCGGATTGGTGTGCCTTGGATTTTAGACTAATGTATAAGATTAATACATCAATGAGTTTCTCTAAAAGGTCCTGTTGTACCGATTTTGGATTACATATGAACAAACCGAACTCAGGACTGTGGGACATTATTTTAAAACATAGATTCCAGCTGCTTGGATCAGAAGAAAGACATATAACAATCCCATAGCATTGAATTGTTTTAGTTTTACAATGTGTATATTTCCAATGATTAGATTAGTTGAAAGCATTACCGAAGTGTACGGAGTATTTCACAGCATTTCACACTCAATATAAGCATGTCGTCATTTGTGTTTGGTCATGGCACGTAGAGGTCTGCCGAACGTCGCTTGGTTTGATCTGATCTGAGGAGACTTGCAGCAGATGTGAGGGGTTTTTGGACCACAGATGGAGTCGAGCGAGTGGCAGCTGGTTTCCATCTCTGCATTGGGCTGTTATTTTAACCATTCATAATTCTCCCTTGTGTGACTTTAGCTGCTCTGCATGTAGAACTGCTCTTTTTGCAATTATGACACTTTAGTAATCCATAAGAAAAGCATGTGTCTCCTTTAAACTATGCATCTTACAGTCACATTAGGCTACGTTAAAGGTGCCCACAGGTTTTGGTAAAAGGGCCACTGGTCTTGTCCAGGGGCCGACAACCTGGAGTGAAAAAAACGTTTCTTGACTGAATTAAGGCAGGAATGTTGTGCAAATTCAAAAACTGGTTTCAAGAGGTCATGAGATATAGAATGCCTACTGATGGAACAGAACCGCCTGTGCCCAAAGAGAAGCAAACAGCAGAATAGATACATGCTTTCATTTGGACACACAACTAGTTACGTCTTGAGCAGATTATGGACAGATTATATACAGTATACTGTAGAGTCACGGCTATTAATTTCCTCTAAGCAAGACCAGATGCAGGGAATACTTCTTCATACCTTCATACAATGTGTAGTAGTAGTTTATTTGAGCAGTTTTAAACACATTTTTATTACAGGTACATATAATTCAAGAAACAAAGCTTAAGTCGGACGCAAAAAGTCAATACGTTTAGGCGACGGCAAAACGATTCAAAGTTGAATTTAAAAACATGAGTTGTGTATCTCAACACCTGTGTATGATCTCGATTATTACTTTTGAAATGATTAGTATTTTAATCCTGTTTCAGATACATTAATATATACTTTCCTTCTTTTCAAGTGTATGTATATATACTTAAAGACTTTGAACATATCTGGGCTGCATTGTTCTCATAAATCTTAACTTATACCCATGTAGAATGCGGACAGAGTATATGGACTATTGCTAACAGATCAAGGTCCCTTTGTCCATGTCTAAGGACGGTCAAATAAACTAAAATATTGTGACCAGGATGTTAAAGGTTCTCTGTCTGGCATTGAGATCATGTTTGACAGTGGTCCCCAAATCCCGGTCAAACTCCTTTTTGTCCATTATCAACCACTGTATTTCAACATGGCGCGTTCACATGGAGAGTTCTCCAGCTCTCAGTAACATTTATAAGTAATAAAATAATAAGTAATAATTTTAGGCCTATGACAATAATTCAAAAACATGGTGGAGGTAAATATTCTTAAAAAGGTCACATTTGTAGCATGTAATTTAATTTGAAGCAGCTGTATAAAAGACATAGTACCTTTAAGGCCGCTGGAGCTTTATAACAGCCTCAACAATTGTCAAAAATTATCAGATTATACAACTACCCTTTTGGTCAACAAATATTTTATTATACGATGATGCACATAAGTACTTGTTTTGCTTTTACTCAAATAGCATTTACTGGACCCATGTTATCAATCCTGTGCACCTATACACACACGTCTTGCATCTGGGGAGCGTGCACAGCTATGGTCTGCAGCCAGATGAGTAGCATTAGGCCTTAATGAGCAGTTCTCGTGCCTCTTGTGGACTTCCTCGACCACGGACAGGGAGGCATGCACACACTGGAGTGATTTGACTGCAGCAGGTGAAGTAGATCTGCTAAATCCGATTATGCCTAAAGAAAACACCACGCTTAGAGGAGTCCGGGGCACATTCATCATCATTATGTGGTCTAAATCTTACAGAGGAATGACTAAGGCCACTGTGCAGGCGAGAAGCTCCGTCTGTGCGTGTGCGGGAATGCACCAGCTGACAGGACACGTGGGCGGAATGAGGAACAAGAAGATGTATTATTACTAAAAGAGTGTATTAGGGCTGCTTTCATGGGAACAATGATCTTAACAATTGCCATTACTTTTGCATTTTGTCTTCCGTTTTGAGATGCTTTTTGTTTTCATATAAATTGGTAACTGCAATTCTGACACATTTCAAACACTGTATGGAGTTCCACAAGGATCTATCCTGGGTCCTCTTTTATTTTTACCTTTGTGTTGTGCCACTAACGGAACTCTTACAGAACTCCACATGACATATTTTTGTTTCTTACAACGTTTTATTGTGCATTGTCTTTGGTCAAATAATACATTCAATTCAGTTTAACATCATATATGGAATTATTTTATCCATCTGCCGAATTGTTAGGGCAGATCTCCAGTATTATCCACCTCTACTCCACCTATTGCCGGGTGAAAAATGACAGCTTGGAGGTTCATGGAACTTTGGGGGAAAACTTGTGCATAGCAAGAATAGATCTGGTTTCTTTTCATAGTGAGATACATTCCTCTGTTAATGGAGCAAGTAGGACTTTCATTAATTCTGCTGCCCACCAAAGTTGACAAGAGGCCACTGGTCTTTGATTTGAGAAAGAGGTTTTTTTGTTCCATATTTCCTCAGGAGGGAGTTTGACACTGAGCAGATGTAGAATGTATGTCTATTAGTAGGTAATCTTTAGTAAGTAATCTCTATTTATACAGCGCCTTTCACAGACAGAGAGTCACAAAGTGCGTTATGTAACAAACGATTCAGAACAGAAGGGGACAATTCAGTTCTTTATCCTTTATTATGCGCAGCAATCGGACATTCTCAATTGGTTTTGTATTTAATGATAATAAATATTGTTCAGCTAGGCCAATATTTAAGAAATACAAAAATAATCCCTCGAAATGTATAGTAGATTGTAGACTAAAACACAGTTAAGGTGTATTTATTAACATCCACCATTTCCTTGGTCTTTCCTGCGATGATGAGGAGGTGTTTTTGCTGACACCAGTCCACAAAGTCCATTATTAGTCCTCTGTGCTCTGTGTTGTCATCTTCAGTGATGAGTCAACTTCTTCTCCATAGTTCTGGCCAATCAAATGGCGTTCTATAACAAAGAGGAAAATATATACTTTTTTTCGGTATAACATACTGATTCATATTCTAAATTCAACCCTGAGTCACATGACAGACCTTGTAAAGTAATTATCTGGAAGATGAGGTATGAACAAGTCAGTTTGCATCTTATTTGAAGTGACTACTCAACCTGAAATGATGAGGTTTTTACCACCCAGGCCGACAAAGCTCAGAGGACACAGGTCAGATGCAGAGTTGAGATCTTCAATGTAATGACAGAAGACAGATTACTGACATTTGACCTTTCAGCTTTGGGCTTCACACAGGGTCAGACAATATTACCCCTGCAGCAACACAACATTCATTCTCATCGCAATCAGAATTGGGGTTCTATTGAATTACAACTACAGTACTTACTGAATGCTACTTTTTTCAAGTTTTTTGTACCCTGAAGACTATATAGCAATGTGGTAAGATAAGATAAGATAAGACAGGACTTTATTGATCTCACACAGGACTTGTTTACATGTCACGTCTGGCATAGATAGAATCACTCAATAGAAAGAAAGTAATGTGCAAACATGTTAAATGCAGGATATATTATAACAAGTGGCAATCAAGAAACAGGGTCAATAGTTGTGGAGGTTTTTCAGTCCTATTGCAAGTGACTTAAAGTGACTTACTGTATTGTACAGTCTGACAGCAGTGGGGATAAAGGCCCTGCGGTAGCGCTCCTTCTTGCACTGAGAGTGCCTCAGTCTTCCACTGAAGGAGCTCCTCAGCTCCTCCTCAGTCCTGTGCAGTGGGTGGGAGTTGTTGTCCATGATGGAGGTGGCTTTGACTAGCACCCTCCTGTCCCTCACCTCCTCAGAATCTGGTGAGAAAAGCATTAATTTTATGTTTTTAGAGCATTTCTATAGTTAAAAAAAAAATTATGTTTTTTTATGTAGTAATCTGGGTACACTATTTTGACTCCACCAAGTTTTAGTAGGTATGTGACAACTGCATAGCTCCATGGTTGTGTTTGATAGGATAAACAGATATTGTAAAATGTACGGCACAAATAAACAGAATCTGTGTCCTTTTGTTTCCTAAACAGGGAATAGATAGTAACAGATATCATTTTTTCCCATTCTGAGTGCATTGAATAACCTGACTGAATGAAAGCAAATATGTGAGCTGTTAGTTGCCAAAAGATGGATTTCATTTCGAATGAGTTTTGTCAACATTTTCACTCATATGCATGTATGAAAATAGTCCTATGTGACCCATTTAGAAAAGAAATGAGAATGTATTGGGCTATAGGGGCGAGGGCAGGCGGACAGAGAATAAAATAGAAAAAAATACCAATTTACAGGAATATATATCAATCAATCAATCAAATTCTATTTTTAAAGCGCTTTTCATACAAATGATGCAACACATGCTTTACAGTTTGGTTAAAAACAATCCAGCCGGCC